AACTCCTTTACAATTGTATGCATGTATACATTTACTTTGTTTAAACTTGAACTGCCTGAATAAAAACTATATAAGTGTAATTTTGTGAGCACTGTTCACTATGTTTTGAACCTCCTGTCAACTGACATCATGTAAAATTTGCAAGTATCTTAGAATTGTTTCTGCACATAAACTTAATAATAATTTCTTTAAGCTGTAAGCAAGCAGCTGATAAGAAGTCAACGAAATAAACAAAAGGATGGTACCATTTTGTATTCTGCACAAAGCACCACTGTTGTTCTTGTTTTATTCAAATTCATAAAGTGGAGGGAATAAATATATGAAGTTTAATTTCTGTAATTTATCAATGAAAAAACGACCAAAATTCACTTGTCTGAATTTCCTCTTAAAGGTCACTTGTTCGTAAGTAGAAGATGGAAATTATTTCCTGCCTGCCTGACTGACTGATCCATAGTTTCATTATCTGATAATGACAACTAGGGATTTACAAAATATCACCTGATGATGAATATTAGCATAAATAAATTTGAACAGTTGAAGACACTCGTTAATCCCCCACCCGACCCCCCACCACCAGAAGGAATTCACTTACATGTCACATGGTATTTAGTGTTTAAACACACACACAGCGACAGTATCAGATTATGCAAACTTACCGTTTTTTAGTGTATTTTCTAAAACTGATTCCTTCTACCTGTAGAGCATGTGATTCCTTAACATTAACACCATATATATGAGATGAATATGAAAAGCAAGTGTACATGGAATAGTGTGTTTTTCCAAAAGGGATTCTTGTAGCAGAAATGCTTCCTTGTCCATATTCAGTGCGTTGTTCAGTGGGCTTCAATTTTGACAGCTTCACTTGTTTTCATCATACAAGACTAACAAGGGAAATAGTCTTATGTAACAGTAGAAAAAAATATCCTGCGAATTATGTGGGAAACAGTTGCCTGTAGCACGTGGAAACAAAATACAAGCATCTAGGGGAGTGAGACACTACTGATATCAGTAGTTTGTTTGGAACTTAAAATGATAACGGTAGTGGTGTTTTTATTTTTTTCAAAATGAGAGTCTATCGAATTGGTCAGCTTTCATTCATGATGTAGTGATTGTCTGTGTAAAGATTTCCTCATACAGATCAGATTTAAAGTAGGGAAGAAGTGTCACACTTAGTTGATAGTGGTGGTCATGTAGTGGAGAAAACGAAAGCATTCAAGGTAATTCATCGCATCCCACCGAATCTTTCCAACAGACTTCGTATTCGTTTACTGCACATAGTTCAGGTGATAGGCTTTCGAACTATTTAGCCCAAACTAAGCATTCGAAAGAGGTTCATGCATTCATTATCCCTTTCTTGTTGGCCTATGAAGACCTAACTAACTGATGACTTCTCCAACACCAACCCTTGTTTATATTTACAACCCCTCCAATTAAAAACAATGTTGGTTGCTTAAATGTATGTTGTTGTAAATTATGCCATGGGAATATTTAATATTTTAAAGTGTTAATAAAGCGTGATTTTACAAATTCATCGAATTTTGGCAGAATTCATTAGCTGATTTCTCTATGTAGAGTCATATATATATATATTTGATGCAAAAGATTTGTAGTTCATAGGGAGGATATTGAATTAGTTGTGTTTTTTGAGGAGCCGGTTGATTAGACTGAGAAGTTTTTGTCGTTTGGTCTTCTCAACAAAATCCTCTGTGCAGGTTTTAGTATAGAATGAACTTATGATGTAATTGTATCTACCGACAGACAACCATTGCCGTAATTGGTTGTTGTTTGATATCTTCGTTGATAATTTTTATTGACTTGGAATTTGAACTTTCTTGTCATGTGATTTACTTTTTATTGATAGGTGGTACATTTGGGTTACAGTAATTGGTGTGTTTGTTAATCACTGGCTGACTCACTTGAGTACCAGGATTCTAGAAATTCCCTGGCATTACAGTCTGCTGTTCCCTCTATTTAAAATTTCTACATTATTCTAACCAAATTATTGTCCAAAATCATGCACATGCATTGATACGAAAGAATGTATATCATGTCTTTTTAGAGCTAATTTGTGTTCTTGGATTCTGATTCGAAGTGGACACGCACTTCGACCACCGATGTGATGCTTATTGCAGTTCATGCATACAATTTATTTTATAAATGGCATTAATTTTATTTATGTCCAAACCAAGTTCACTTTTAACAGTTTGAAAAAATTTGGGCTTTGGGTATATGATATTCATTATAAAAAAGGTTTTTGTACTTCCCAATGAATGAAAAATAAAACGGTATTGTTTTTACTGACGTTTCGCTATTTAATGCTAATAGCTTTATCAAAGTATTATTAAACCGGAATTCACAAAATCTCAGCATATATATAACAAAGAGTTAAGGGATAAGAAAATAGATTTAGCTCAAGTTAAAAGGACATATTGAAAGTTAAAATACCAATGAAGATCACTTAACCAAATAACAAAGGTAATAGTACATCTTTTATGGTATCAGAACAAATTTTACTAACTTGATCATCGTTCGTTAGTCTGGGGTCATTTTTCGTTGTCAAGTTGGTCATTTGGGTATTAATTTTGTTTTCTCCTGTTGGAATTTCGGTCGGCACAATATCGATTGGCGTGATTGTGCTAACTGACTGGCTGACTTATGTGCTATATCTATTTGAAACGGTCTTAATATTCTAGTTGTTATTTCAGAGATATTTTGTATATATGGTAGAATGAATTTTCTCGTCACTGTTGTGACTGTAGTTTAAACACTTTTTGATGAAATCGTGAGGATATGCATTGTTTTTGAAGACGGCTGATAGGTATTTTTCCCCCATTCTTTCCAATACTGGAGTGCTGCAGTGTGTTTGAATTTCTCTAAACAATATCTGCACACAGTTTCTTTTTTGGGTAATTGGGTTATTACTGTTATAGTTGAGTATTTGGTCTGGGTGTGTTGATTTTCTATACACTTGTGTCTCAAAATTTCCTGTGTTAGTTTTCTTGATTAATTCAAACATCTAAGAATGGAATTTTTGTTATCCACTTCTTCTTCAAAATGTTGTTTATACATTTGTGGGTATATTCCAAATCATGTCTTTTAAATAAAACCTGAGCTGAAATGATATTGTCTCGAAGGACCACGAAAGCTTCCCAATTAAATCAACCAGTTCCTCAGAGAACATAACTAATATACATATATTATTAGAAATACATTGGGATATATATGACTGACAAGCAAATAAACTGTGTTGAAACAATCAGGAAAAACCATAGGTAGGCATGTTTTACGGGTTATGTTTGCATAGCTAACCGGGGGAATGGGTTTTAGAGAAGAAAATTAAGATCATAATCTATTACGGTTCAGCTACATCACTTAAATATGCGATTAGTTATCAGAAGAAGAACTGGAATATATCGAGAATTGCAAACTGAATAATATTGATTATAGTAGTGATAATAATAATAGTAATGGGTATAAAACGAGTTAAGATAACGGAACTGACAACGGATACATTTAAATGAATCAATAATGGTGATAGTAAGAAGAAGAAGAAATGGAATAAAATATGAATAACAATACTAATAACAGTTCATAAGTAACATATATTACCATGGTAGATTTAGAGTGACCACCATTTCATTCTGCCTACGGAGGTCGGGTTTATGAACTCTAATTGCACAAGCCTCCGCAAATGCGGGAATTGTCCTGCTTCGTTGTCTGCTGCTACTGCTATCTAAACATGACCTGTACAGCATTCACTCCAGCAGTTTTTCAGGATTGAATCAGTATAGTTTAATTACTTATCAGTCATACATCTCCCAATGTACTTCTAATAGTGTATAAATAGCATTCAATGTAGAGTAATCAGCTAAAGATTTCTTCGACGGGAGATTCCTAGACGTGCGAATAAATTGAGCATATTAAGTAACCGAACCCTGTTGTTTTTATGATCTTACAAGAAAGATGCCAGTGATGTGCAGACTGTTCATGATATCTTTTTTATTCCTTTACGCTCTCAGTGGAACATAGGGGTTCAAGCTAGAACTTTGAAGTTTCGGTAGCAAAGGTTGCTAGCCTCGTGCCCAACCTTCGCTCTTTTCCAGTATTAATACTGGCTCCGTGAGACAAAGGAATGAGTCGGTCGGCGATCGAAACCTGAACCACCTGCTTGGTCTTCACTATAAACCGATGGTATTGAATAGTTACTCAAACATGCTTAGTTTAATTTCGTTAACCGTCAACTGAACGATTCTTCTTATTTAGAAATACATCAAAACAATGTCAGTCAGTGTGTCTGTACAGGTAATTCTGTATGCGAACATTCATTTATGGAGGTGTATGCATATGACTGACTAGAGTAAACGCTTCTGCCAGCAAGTGTAGTCGTGATAGAATAACGGTGTATAAAGCGTATTGACGTGCCGATATATTTTATTTACCCGGACAATTTGATAATATTAATAATAATAATTACATTGGTAGTGATCTGACTGTTTAAGCACATTGGATATGACTGTTGTGAGATACATGCTTTATATAAAGATAAGGTTAGGACAGGCTTAAATATTTCCTATGACTTTCTATTTTGCATTACATACTGGTGCATAGATGACATTACGCTTGTGAGCCATCATCCACACAGTAGTTGCATAATGGATGACGACAGAAGATGTAGGAAAGACTCGAACCAACGGTCCTGAGGACACCTGTTTTGTATATACAATTCTAGGGACCTACTGACATATTAGTTGAGGTGAAAAATAACCCAATTTGAGGCGACTGCTGTGAGAAATTAAGATTTCGAAAACAACTTGATTGATATTCATTCATTTTAGACAACACGTCCGTAAGTGAATAAACACTGAGTGAGATTTAAATCAAATATTCTTGTTGTTGGTGTTATTATTATTAATATTATTCAGTGTGATATTATAAATAGAAATTACTCGTTACATAATTTTGTCGGTTGTTTTTGTGCTTTTGTTTTGTTAATTTGATAGAAATCTTGGAAATACGGGACTGCGTGTCTCAGTTCTCAGTTTAGGTAGGTTTATTTTCCACTGAAAGAAAATAGTGTTTGTTTTTTCTGAAAATGTAAATGAATATTTTGAATATTTTTGTTTTTATTTTACTGATAACAGAAGAAAGAAACTATGCTGTGTTGTAGGACCAGTATAGATATGACTTTTCTATAGTTTTGGTTTGTAAGGATTAGTTATGTTTTACGAGTTGATCACGGACTGATATCAGTTAGAGAACCTTTGAAAACCAGGGAGTACTGGACAGCTGCTGTTTCATCCTAGTTTGGGAATCATCGGCAGTACGCACCCACTGGGATTCGAACCCAGGACCTTCCGGTTACAAGGCCAGCAAGCTAGTATACCATTCAGCCACTGGGACCCGATTCAGTGGCTCATGAATTCTAACTTCTACCAATTCGTGATTTTAGCGCGACCCCAACTATTGTCGTTGGTGGGACATCCATCCACACACGTGACTTGCTACAGGTTGGAGCTTCCTGGAGTTCTTCTAGTGAGAAGTCGTGACCAGTGAGGTCCAATTAGAAGTCACGTGTGTGGATGGATGTCCCACCAACGACAATAGTTGGGGTCGCGCTGAAATCACGAATTGGTAGAAGTTAGAATTCATGAGCCATTGAATCGGGTCCCAGTGGCTGAATGGTATACGAGCTTGCCTTGTAACCAGAAGGTCCCGGGTTCGAATCCCAGTGGGTGCGTACTGCCGATGATTCCCAAACTAGGATGAAACAGCAGTTGTCCAGTACTCCCTGGTTTTCAATAGATATGACTGCAAATCGAATGGAGTAAACAATTTACCCAGACAGACTGAAATGTTCAAGTGATGGATTGCAGGGGTTTGATTGGTTTCAGGATTTCATGATGAGCTGATATCCATTAGAGAACTATTGGAAAATTTTAAGGAAATATTGGATGGTTGTTTCGTCCCAGTTTCGGACTCTTCAGACGTACGCGCCCATTGGGTTTCAAACCCTGCAGGCTAACACTTGAATATCATTTAGATGCTCACTAGCTACTGGCCCCATTCAGGTAGGCAGGCTGCTAGTTAACTGCGTTCTAGTGAAATGTCGTGACCAGTGGGGTGCAGGAAGTCGGGTGTGAGCCCAAACACTCGCCAGCAATGACAATTACTAGTACCAGTCACGCTATAATATCGTGAATTGACTGCAGTTGGGATTCATGCACTGGCCACTGGATCGAGTCGCATTGGCTTAATGGTCTACAACCTCGCTGGCCTTGTAATCGGGTGGTCTTTAGTTCGAGCCCTGTCGGTGGGTGCGTACTGATGAAGAGTCCCAAACCAGGACGAAACAGTTGGTTACTATTCCCAGCTGTTTCTCCAGTTGTTCTCTAATCTATGTTAGCTCACGATTAAATCCTGAAACTAATTAAATTCCGTGCAAACCAACACTTGTGAATCTACATTTTATAAGCAATAAGTTTGTCAATTTGTGAGTTTTCACACCTATTGTAGAGCGTTAGATGCACTGAATTTCACGTTTTCTTTTCTTAAGTATCTAAACGTTTTCATAAGTCCCACTGAAGTCACTTCTCAACTAGAAGTGTAACAATTTTCTGTTCAACCTCGATTAAACTATGGTTGTAGCCAGCTAAAATTGCATGAAAGGTCTAGCCATTCACTCCTTTTCCCTGGACAGTAAATCCTTCAAACGTTGTCTTCATTGACCATCCATCGTTGTATCACTTTCAAGGCACTAAGAACAGGTTTAACGAAAATCAGTGGAAAAACACTGATCAGTATTAAATATCTTTCGTCTACCCAGCTACAACAACAAAAGCGAAAGAAAGTTTTGCTGACGCCAATGAATTTGCTTAACTTTCGTCTGTTTTGTAACTCCAAGTTAGTAAGACACAGTCGACAAACACTCATTTTACTGGATTTTCTTCTTTTGGGGGAAATTCGATTACCCCTTTTTTTTTTCTTTTTTTGGCTGGCAAATATTTACTTTCCACATCTTTGATAAAAATACACATGCTAGGCGCTTTCTTTTTTATGATGACGAGTTAAGAATTGCATATCTTTATGAAATTCAAAGTATATAGTGCTAATACAGGCGTGTAGTTTCGGTGGAATTTTGGTTGACTGAACACTACCTACCCATAAGTGGAGTTTTCCACTGGGAAGGTGAAGCGCCTTTTGAATGCAGACGACAGTCAGAAATTTTTTTCGGTAAATTTTCCTTAGAAAATTCTCGAAATAATTAGATTTGCGTTTTCAAGAAATAAGACAGTGATACCGATCATGATGATGACGATGATGAGGTTAGATGGTTTGATTTGATAAAAAATTGTTTCGAGTTGTTTAAGTAGCAGTTACAAGGACTTCTTGTTCTCGAATCTATCGGCGCGTGGTTTAGAATCCTCCTTTTTTGTTAAAGTTAAATGGATTATGATCAATTTTCATTCTGTCATGAGTTTGCCTGTAAGTATTATCTGTCTTACAATTTGTAGTCGTGATATGTGCAAAAATAAACAGACAGATGGTAGGCTAAATTTAATTATAAATCCTTTTTCCTGTACACGAGCCTTCAAGTGTCGGTTTACAGGGATTTGATCTGATTCCTTACAGGATTCTGTCATGATCTGATATTGGTTAGAGGACCATTGGGAAACCACCAGGGAGTACTGGAAAGCTAATAAAAACAAAACACGTAGTTCAATGAAGAGTCTCTTCTTGGAGGCGATTTCATTCACTTAACTGTACATTAGCAACTATACATATATATATATATATATTTGTATGTGTGTACATCAGGTTTTTCCCATAAGATTAAAAATACGTTTGACTTATTATTGTCAAGACACTTCAAAAATGTGATGAGTAATCAGACTTTAACAAGGGGGATGGGAGTGAAGATTGACAAGAGGGTAGTGGTGATGTGTTGTCAAAAAAACATATAAATTAACACATAAACGAAGTTGAGTAAGCATAATACAGTTACGTCATAGGATGAATAGTTTAATGAGTGAGTTGTGATTAGGATGCACATAGAAACAAACGAAAATATGGAATTATGTAAGACAAGTAGTTCAGCGAAGAGTCTCTTTTCGGCGAATTTATTTTCATAGCTGTACAGTCGCATATATATACATGGTTGTTTTGTATGTGTGTGTACATTAAATTTGTCAAACGAAAATGCAATTAGTGAGTTCAGATGAATTGGATGTTGATATAAGAGAGTAGTAACAAAAGTGATGAGTTGTCACAAACGATTGTTAAAGAAGAGTTACGTAATGAAACGAAACTACAAGCTTCTAAAGCTGGGTACCAATCAGTCGGAAAAGGAACCTTGATTAGATCTCTTGCCACTCGCGTCCGACGCATTTGCAGCTCTGATACCATAGAAGAAGAATTAAGCTTCCTGAAAGAAACCTTCATACCAAACGGTTACCCATCAAGATTCGTAGACAAAAACGTCAAACGGAAAATCCAAAAGCAAGAAACAGCATCTGTGCCAAAAATGTTACTTTATATGAACCTCGACTTCAAAGGAGACCTATTTAGTGACGTCCTCAGAAGGAGAATTTACACCTCTTTAGGAAGAACTTACCCTGCGGCAACACTAAGAATAGTGTTCTCCAGTCGCCCGCTGATCTGCAGAAACCCAAAGGACAAGACCATGCACCTGACCACTTCTATGTGTATATATCAGTTCACCTGTTGCTGTGGAGCCAGGTACATCGGTCGCTCAACGCGCTTCCTGTCAAAAAGGGTCAAAGAACACTACCCAGCGTGGCTACAGAAAGGAAATAATGGCCATATAAGGAGTGCAATAATCGAACATCTCGTCACCACTGGTCATTCCATCTCAACGAACGCCTCCTTCAAAGTGATCTACAAAAAGTGAAGAACAACCTGCCAAAACAGTACGATTCAGTCTTCTTTGCATCGCAGAAGCCCTAGCCATTAAGCTAGAGGAACCCAAACTGTGCATACAAAAGAAAATTATTCAACCACTTCTACTCCCATGGTAACAACTGTGTTGATTTGACTTAACTTTCCTTTGTTTGTTGGTATGCTTATTTTTCTACTTAAAACCCTTGTGTAATTCCGTATGTTATTTTGTTTCCATGTACACCCTCAATACAACTCTTTCATTAAACTATTCATGTTATTACGTAACTCTTCTTTAACAATCGTTTGTGACAACTCATCACTTTTGTTACTACTCTCTTATATCAACATCCAATTCATCTGAACTTACTAATTGTATTTTCGTTTGACAAATTTAATGTACACACACATACAAAACAACCATGTATATATATGCGATTGTACAGCTATGAAAATAAATTCGCCGAAAAGAGACTCTTCGCTGAACTACTTGTCTTCTGTCTATTAAGGTTCGAATGGGAATTTTTCATGAATTATGTAAGAGTTCTAAAAATTACAAATGTTACAATGAGTTAGAAAAAAACAAGCACGCAAACATCAAGTGAGTAGAAATCAGCATGGTTGTTACCATGATAGTAGAAGTGGTTTGATGGTTTCCTTTTGTATATATAACTCTGACTTCTTCAAATGAATGGCTATGGCTTCAGCAAAACGCAAATGAGAGACGAAAGCATATTGCCTTTGGTACGTTATTCTTGACTTTGTTGTACATTACTTTGAAGGAGGAGGCGTTTGTTAAGATGGAATGACCAGTGTGTAGTGATGTTCGATAATCTCTCTGGTTATAGAGTCCCTATTACCTTTTCGTTGCCATGCGGAGTAGTGTTCTCGAATCCTTTTGAATGACCAATGTACCTGACACCACAGCAACAGGTGAGTTGATATATGCACATACATTACTCACACCACATTTTTGAAATGTCTTGACATCAATAACTTATTTTTATTCTTATCAGACAAACCTAATATACACATACATGGAAAAATGAGTAGATGTAACTGCAATCGTACATCTGAGTGTATGAATTCACCCAAAAAGAGACTCTTCGTTGAAGTACGTGTCTTGTCTTCATAATTGTCTGGGTGAGAATTATTCATGAATTACTGAACAGCTGTTTCATCCTAGTTTGGGAATGAATACGACTAGCAACTTAAGACTGTATAAAATGGCTAGGACCCAGCATAAAATAGTAAATCATCCTTTCTCATAGATCGTGTGATATAGCTTGTGATGGAGTCACTATGTGGATTTACTATTTCTCACGTATACTGTGATTTAGTGTGTGAGATCAGTTCATCGTCTTTTGTCTCACCTGGTCTTTGTCGGATCACCAACCAATCACACTAGAAATTTACAGCCAGTAAGAACAGTCCATTCCCATGGTTGGGAGCCAAATGTATTTGTGATAAACTAAACATATAAATATGATGTTTTCTTTCCGAATAGATGTATAATACTGATATCTTAGAGTCGCAGGCCAGCCAGCCTTTGTCTTTTGATATTTGCGTGGCTCAATGAATTGAAAGGTACAACGGACAAATAGAAACGTATTAGCGTTCCAGTCGAGTTCATTACCATTATAGTAATTAACAGGTGCAGACATAAAAAGTCGCCATAGGTTTATTCAGTTCAGTTATAACAAAAATAAACACGTATACGAAAAAATCTATCTTTAGAGAAGTAGGAGTAAACTTTTACATTTAAGTGAATTTCATGCAAACAGTTGAGCATGTAATTTCTCAATGTATAAATAATCAGACTGTATAACGAGCACTTAATGGTCGAATTTCATAGAGTTGAGAGACAAATTATCTCCAGAAAAACCTTAAATGCAGGCGAGTCTCATCTGTTATCCTCAAACATGAAAAACCTGAACTACAAGCCAGCACACATTTGTTCTCTGCTTACATTTGTAGGCCTCCTTTATATCAAATTTACTTTCAATATTTTCGGCAGAATAGCAGAAAACACCAAAGTGTAGTACTGAATTAGTCCACTTATCAACTGAATTACACAGCTCAACAGGACTGTTGATTTATTGAAGTTACACGATGGTAGCCACTCCGGCACATGATTTTTAACAGCCAGTTAAACCCTACAGAGAGCGTAATCAAATTAAACTGTGCCTTTTGTTCTGGATTTATTTAACGAGCTCCATGAAACTTGAGTGTTTGGTCACTAACCTGAATAATGGATTAGTAGGGGTTACTTAAACATGAATATGCGAGAGAAGCTTGACAGGAAGACTGCCATTATGAGAGGAATGGAAATTTAATATAAACAGATCTCAGAACACCACTGTCTATAGTCATCTTCCTAACAATTTTACGATTTTATTGCCCATTGATTGGGATTCGTTTCTCAAGATTTATAGCCATTTGTTCTTTGCATGAAAATTTCATTTGAAATAAGTACATCACTCTATTTTTGGTTGACTTTTATCCTTGAATTCTTAAGAGGGTTTTGTTAGAAGCGTTAATTCAACACACACTTGGTAGTGTTTCATTATTCTGCCCCTTGATGTCACCTTAATATATGATAACGTGGTCAATTGAACTTAGGATTCGCTTATATGACATTTAACGTTCTTTCTGATGGCTTGGTTAAACTACTGGGTTGCGTGAATTTCTATCCAGCGTGATGCGTCTACCTTCCTGAGTTCCTTGTTGTTTTAACCCTTTCGTCCAAATTATGTCCCTGGATTGCAACATGAACTCACATAAACATTTAATTGACTTTCAGCCCATCGCTGTGCACTTCAAGAAGAAAATTAAGGAGAGACGTCGTAGAAGATTGAGTCTTGTTTCAGATAGAATGAATGATACGATATACTATCGTTGAATATCCTGCTTCTAGATTCTATTCGTGAAGTAAATATTTTGACTGACTGAATAACTGGTTTCAACATAGAATCTTGCAGAGATGTGCTTCAGCTTCTGTCACCACACCCCTCCTTGTAGCACACAAGACGAGAAGAGAGTTAAGACAAATTCAGTGAAAGAGAGATAATAAGCAAAAATGTGAGTGAGGTAAGAAGAATAGTAATATAGAAGAACAGTGGAGTTTTATGGGATATTATCAATCACAAAGAGTGAATGCATCTGCGGTAGTCAATGACAACGGTTTTCAGCCATACCACCAATTGTCTTCATCCATTATTGGTGTTTACCATCCCGACTACTCCAATCGGCCAGTAGTCTACACCTCCCTACGTGGTTGGCTGAAACTAACTTTTACAGAAGTCATGATATGGTTTGACCACAATGTGCCAATTCTTTTCCAACCTCATCTATTTTATGTCAGTCAGCTAATATTGTCCGTCGATCAAGGAAGGCTATCGATGGCTCGGTGGTGTGGGTAACATATGTCCTAAACATCTCTCTCTATCTAAGTAACTTCACAACCACTTAGTCGACTGATTTCCTCTCCCACCTACCTTTCACTCGACTTATGTCTCACCTCAATATTGATCAACCTATTAGCTCACAACCACCACATGACACACATGGGAGATGGAACTCAGGCACCTGTGATGAAAGGCAGCTAGCTAGCCAGCCTGTTCATGTCTTCCACTTTCACTGACCATGTCTCAATCACAGCTTTAAATCAGAGGGTGGGAGAAAAGTGTTTCTGAGTAGTACACACGTCTCTTGCTCGATAATCAGCCGGATATCACGTCGTAAATTGACGTGTTGAGATTTTGTCAGTGACCAACCAGCTGTAATGTGGCTGGCTGATGCAACTTCCCACATAAGTGAAGTGGTCAACACGCTCCACCAACCACTTCACCACCTCCCTATCTTTATGCTAGGAGTGAGTCGATGTAGTCCAGTCCAGTCCTGTAGCATCAATCATCTTACACTTGACAGCACGATCGAACCGCATGTCAAACATTCAAAGATTGTTCATTGTTCAAGGTGTTCAGAAGACTATGCAGTTTGTCAGCGTCTTCATCCAGGAAGAAAGACTAAATCATCTTCGTATTTTAAGTCAACTGTATTGTTCTCTGGCGACAAGTCAATCCTTAAGTCACTGAAGTCAGGGTTAATTAGTCCATCAGTACATCTATGACGAAATTAAACAGAAATGGATACACAGGTGGGCATCCCTGACGGACAGCACTACACTGGTTTTCATCACTTCAGATGACAAATCTCCGTAAGCTGTCACCTGGTTACTTGATTTCAAGTAAAGTGATAGCAAAGAGAGCAAATATTTCACAAAAAATTACTTTATGAATTTCGGACTATGTTTAAATATAATTCCCAGAAAAAAGCTTATATGATTAATATTTACAGTGATCGATGTTTAATTACGTATTATGATTTATCTCTTTCTTCTTGTGATTTTAGGTACAGATGTCACTTTCGGGAATCAAATACCAGATGAGGTGAGTGACTAATCAATTTATTTTACATGTCTGATTTCAGAAAAGAAAAACTAATTGAACTGTTAATTCACCTTTATTATGAGATTTTGTCTAAATAATTAAATGGCTTTGTTGGAAGTGTGTACGCTAAAATAGATCTGCCTAAGGGAAACGCTAACTCAGTTGTTATCTTCTTCCAACTTTTTCAGTTCATAACATAACTGGGTACAGGATTTCGTCACGAGTTGACATCGGTTAGAGAACCATTGGTAATTCACCATGGAGTAATGGACAGCTGTTTCGGCAGCCTGATTTGGAACTGACTCTTGACCAGTACACAGCCACAGACAGGGCTCGAAACAAGGATCTTCTGCTTAGAAGGCCAGCGAGATAGTAGGCCATTAATCCAGTGAGACTCAATCCAATGGTCAGTGCATGAATTCCAACTTCGACCGATTCGTGACATAAGGCGACCACTAAACATCGTCTTCGGCGAGTATTTGTCCTTCGATAAGCTATACCTTACTTGTCACGACTTCCCACTAGAACCCCAGGTAACTACTTACCTACCCGAATAGGGCCAGTCTCTAGTGAGCATCAGACTGGTATTCAAGTATTGGTGTGTAGGGATTTGATTGACCGGTTACAGGATTTCATGATGAGTTGACATCGGTTAGGTGTCACCTTAGTGTGTACAAGGTTAATTCACTTAATTTATAAGATAATAATTCTAATGACAATAAATCATTCCAGCTGCCATTTCTATCTATAACACTAATGTTCTAACGTCATTTCGATAACACAGACTGACAGCTAAATAAGTGTATATATTTTTCTCCCAACACTTCGACTGAAGTGAAGAGATGTGACTGAAATCGTGGATGCATAGATGCAACACATAAATGCAAACATTTTCAAAATACACGTTTTCTCGTTGGATAACACAGTTCTTGTAAGTGTACTCAAATAAACTTCTTTGTTGAATATCAATACATACTAGAGTAGTAGTGCTATACAGATGTAAGAGTATCATAGACGTAAATGCTTGTTACCATATAAGTAAGTAAGTGGTAAGTTTATTTTTTCGGATGGTACCTGATCGAATCAGGATATCAAGCAAACCCACAAAACGACTTCAAAGTTATCCACAGAATACGTGAGAATCTCGCTAAAAGAGTACGAATCAAACTTCTTCAAACCAAAGATGCGATGGAAGTTCACATGTTAAACCCTCAATTGTGCATACAAAAGAAGTTTGTACAGTCATTAAATCTGCTGTGCATCTGACCTATCTTAACACCCAATACGTCATTTTTTTGTTTGGTCTTTTTCTTGCTTGTTTGTTTCATAATTGTATAATATTTTCTTCCGCCACCCACTATTCAATCTCTACCCGTTATTATCACTGCTGTCAGATTGACTGTCGTTGAATTTTAATCTTAGTTGAGCTCTACTCAACCGTGTGACTTAGATTACGTCACTCAACTTGCTTATTTAATCTCATTTTATAGTTTTCTTTGTTTTCGTAGGGGTAGTAGAAACGTCATCCGGTAAATAATACTGTTTAACTGTGTGATATATCTAATAAACAAACTAATATGGAATTACTTACTACCACGGTGCACAAGTTTTTTCTACTAACCTTACGACAAGTAGGAGAAGACAAAGAAAACTATAAAATCAAGTTCCAAAGTCGTGTGATTACAATTGATATGATTATGAACAATAAATTTTGTTCGAAACGTCATCCAGTAAATGATACTGTTTCACTGTATGATATATCTAATAACAAACTAATATGTAATCTCATTTTAGTTTCTAACCCATTAACGAAATTTGTTATTTTCAGTAGTCGGTGTGTAAGGATAAGATTTGTTTTTGACGAGTTGATCACGGATCGATATCATTTAGAGAATAACTGAAAACCACCAGGGAGTACTGGACAGTCAGCTGTTTCGTCGAAGTTTGAGAATGACTCACTAGCGGTACGCACCCACCGACAGTGTTCGAACCCAGGTCCTTCTGCGTACAAGGCTAGCGAACTCGCATACCATTCAGCCATTGGGACCCGATACAATGGCCAGCACATGAATTCTAACTTCTACCAATTCGTAATTTGGCGCTATCACCAATCGATGTCATCTGCGGGACATCCATCCTCACACTTGACTGGATGGACGTCATTGGTCATGGCTTCTCACCAAAACTCCAGGAAACTCCGTCCTGTAACAAGTTACTAGCGACCATCAAATTAGTTTTCAATAGATTTGTAGACTTAATGACTGAACCAACTTCTTTTGTACAGAGAGTTTAGGATTTAAAATGTGAATTAAGGTCGCTTCTTTGGTTAGAAAAAGTTTGATTCGTACACTTTTAGCGAGATTCCCATGCACTGTGTAGATAATTTCGAAGTTTGTTTGTGGGTTAGCTTGTTGTCCTGATTAGACTAGGTATCACCGACCGTCGCTAAATTAACTGTTGTTCAGTTTTAATTTTAGTCCAGCTCTACTCCATCCCATCAGTTACATTACGTCACTCAAATTGCTTAATTAATCTTATTTTAGTTTCTAGACGATTAACGAAATTTGTTATCTAAAATTTACAATTCTAATGATACATCTTTGGAAATATTTATTTTATTGCTGAGACAAATTACTACATATATATAAGCAATTGTACAGCTTGAGAATGATGTCGCTGAAAACAGAAGTAGTCCTTCTCTGAACTCATTCTCTTTTATATGACTCAGTAGTGTAGGTAAATCACCGAAACCCACTTCCACTTTGCAAGTATTGAGTACATACTGACCGGTAATGTTTGAAAATTGTGGAGATTACAAATAAGAGAAGGATAGATTGTGTGAAAATGTATTAAACATCTGAGAATTTGGATGGTTTACAATCAGAGGGAATATGAGAGTAGAATCAGGAGAACTAAATACGAGATATTCTGGTGAATGAGAACACAGCTGGCTGAGAAAGTAGTAGATGAATGAAACTCCTGTGTAGGTATTAACATCAGAACTATTTAAACAATCAGCCAGATGGATAAAGTACACAGCCACTGATCAAAAGGAATTTCTAACATGTTGTTCAGTTTGAAATTCAATCAGGATTTTGTGGAGTGACAACAGATAAACAATCTCATCAAGTTAAGTCAAGTCTGTACCATGAGTGACTTAGGTTACTCTCTAAGGAAGGTGAATGAGCTTATTATTTACTATTATTGTTTCCTTTAATTCCTAGAGGAACATAGGGCGTCAGCCGCACGTCTCCATTGCATCCGGTTCTCCGCCAACGTTTACACCTGGCTCCACGTCTGCACGCATGCTTTCATCCCCTCTTCACATGACCTTCCTCTTGTTACCCTTGCACTGACGACCAACTAGCCGCTTTCCATTTGGGCTCCACTCGAGCAATGGCCTGGCGTGTGAATTCACTTGACGGTTTTCTTAGATTATGGCCAATCCACCTCCATTTCTTCCTGAATATTTGTTGCCCTATTTGTTCCTGGTTGGTTTGCACCCAGAGGTCGCTGTTGCTGATCTTTTCTAGTCAGCCATAGCTGTTATTGAAGGTCTGTAGTTTGTTCGAATTGCATTTCGTTACGTGGCGTGGCGCCAAGCCTCTCACCCATATAGTAGCACTGACTTCCCGTTGCAGTTGAATATTCCGATCTCATTTTTCATGCTGAGTAGTGCTTTTGTTCTCCACACAGACTTGAGAGTAATGAAAGCTTGCCTTGCTTTCCCGATCCTCGCTTTGATATCCTCACCAGTTCCGTTCACCTGTAGTTGAAACGATGCTTCATAGGTAGGTAGGTGCAAGAGGTTGCTTCTTTCAGATTTCTCCAATTTATGTTGATTGTTGTTTGTTGTTGTCGCTGTCGCTGTTACTGTTAACCATGAATCTTCATCACCTACCTCTGTTTTCTCTATGCTCATCTGAAGTGAACTCCCATCTTCTCCAGATGCTTTTCACTTACATATCTTCCAGTTTGTGGGAAATCAAACATATGTTATTGGCAAAGTTGAGATCCTCTAAGGTTTTTGTGTGGGTCCATCTTATGCCTGTCTCCTTGTTGCCTGGCCCTCTGTCTGTCGTATTATCCAGTCTACTGCCATCAATCAGAAAAATCATTGGAGATAGTAGGTAGCCAACTTGCCTTACTCCCATCTTCACTTCGAAGGATTCCATGAGTTTCTCTTTGTGGATTACTTGGCATGCAGCGTTGTCGTACAATTGTTGAATGAGATGTCTAATTGTTGACGGCACCGTGTAGTAGCGACGTAGTTTATAAATCACCTCTCAATCGATGCTATCGAAGACATTTTCAAAGTTGATGAAGTTGAGATAGAGACGTTGAATATACTGGTTTAATCTTATAAATATCACAGTTTATAAAAGTGATGCAAACTGTTGTATCTGTGGATTAGTCATCGAATGCTACACTGTGCATTAATGAAGGAAATTGAGATTTTTTGTGCCATATACCTGTATGACAAAATAACTAATCGATTTGTGTAGTCTGAGGCTATTACAAGCAGCTATGATATTCAGCTACCATCATTGCTTTTACAGCCATCTGCATAATAATTGCTATAACTATGAGTCAGTTTCCTAATGTCACTTAAAATTTTTGAGGAGCCGTTATTCTCATAGGGTTTTCTTTCATTGTTACACATTTGCTATCATATATGATAAAAGGTACAATGAATTTCGCATGTAATAACTAATCGAGTTTAATAGCATGTCGGAATAACAGAGATTACTTTTGTTACAAATATTCCGCATTTTCACCTCAATACATTAATGACATTATCTTATAATAATAATAATAATGTCCATTTCAGTAGGCTGATTTTCACGAATCTACTTTGTGACAGATTTAGTAAGTTTAGGAAAAAGTAAAACGTGAGAATTTCAGTAGTATATTGCAGATTTTAAAAACGGTGTGTTTTTAATTGCTCAAATGGACTTAAAATGTAATAGGAACAAAATACAGATATGAACGTTAAAGGGAAACAGGCTGAAGCATCCTGTCCATGATCCGTTTTCTTTATCGGATGCATATATCCAGTCATCAGTCATAGAGATGAATAGCCCTAGATTCTGTTGCATAGTGTTAGGTTTAAAATCTATGGTTTTAAAGGAAGTCTGTTTTTATCTATCCTGTGTGTTTTGAGATAGCTTCCTTATATGTATTAGCTTCTGCGCTGCAGTATAGTGTAGTATTATACTTGTCATTTCATTGAATGTTCTGAATAGATACTTGTCAAGCAAGACATCACTCCTTCGGTTTTAGGATCAGTGGTTTCCCATTGTCAACTATTTCATTTTGTGAGATTTTGAAAATAATTGCTTAATAATTACTTCCTTGTATTCTGAGTAGAACATAGGGCTTCAACAACACATCTCAGCCTTGTTCTATTTTCTCCTGTACTCTTCAACTAGCTGACCCAACGATTGCCCATAATCCTTCATCTCCTCCTCCAACTCACACGATCTCTTCCATGTCACTCTGAAACACACGCACCACTCGTCTTTTCCCTTTGGGATTCGACTTGACCAACTGCCCACAGTGTGCGCGATATAATTCGACGGTTTCCTCAGTGTATGCCCAATCCATCTTCATTCTCTGCTGCATATTTGTTGAACGATAGGTTCTTGGTTAGTTTGTTCCCAGCCAGAATTTCTTGTTGCTAATTCCTTCTGGCCCGTCGGCCGGCCAGCTATTTGATCTTCAGTATAGAGTCAGTGAAGGCAGCTGCTGATAAAAGTCTGCAACTGGCTGTTAGAAATGCTTTTCGTGGTGAACCGGGCAAATTTTGGATCCATACAGAATAAGTGACTGACTAACTGATTTGACATTGGTGTTGAAAATCCGAATCTCGTTGTTTGTGCTGTGAAGTTCAGAAGATTTCCAAACTGATTTCAGATTGATGAGGGCGTATTTTGCCTTTCCGATTCTGTATTTGACACCATTCGATTCGCTGGCCTGTGGTCAACACATTGCTTCCTGGTCAGATAAGTGAATGAAGTAACCTCTGTAAAATCTCTCCTGTTGATTGTGATTGGTGCTGTTTAATGTTGTTTATGCTGTCGCTGTTGGTTGGTTGATTGGTTATCTTCATCACCTCCGTCTCCACCTTTTCTATGTTCAACTGCAGTTCTGTCTTCACCGCCGCAAGTCTTCACGTTTGTGTGATACTAGAAATAAATCATCCACTTGTGAAATCCAGATCTTCTAGAGTCTTAAAATCCGTCAGTCCAGTGTATTCCAGCCTTGTCGCTTCCGACGTACAGTGTGCCACATAATCCAGTGAACTACAATTAGGAATATCAGCAGTGAAAGTTAGCAGATTTGTCTTACTCCAGTATTCACTACAAAGGTTCCTTCGCTGAGTTTCCGGTTGTGGAGCACCTGAGAAGTGGCATCGTTATGGTGTTTAAAAATCATGTATTAGATAATTTAGTTCAAACTGTCGGATATGAATTTCGTGTTTGAATCTAGTTAAGGAAACATCGGGGGGGGGGGTGTGTGGAACAATTTCTATGAGGGGTATCTGTACAGTTTTAAACACATCTCACCACGTTTTGAAAGCTGTAATAAAAAAACACTACACATAACAAAATCTCTAATTTTCACAATGAAATTTCTTTAGCCTCATATGCCTGACCATTTTACTAATTGTAGATGGCTGAGAAAATTGTCACCACCGCTTATAATAATGGAATAAATATCTTTGAAACTGGAGAAGCATATTCAGATGGAGAGTAAGTCAATTGCCTCGGAGTGTTTTTCACGTATTTACTGTTGTGTTTGTTTTCACTGAATATTTATGTGATTTTAATGATCAATGATTTATAAAGTCATGTTTCTCCTGCCTTATTAGCTGTTTGTAGTTAACATGAAATTTCCCTAGAAAGGAGACACCTTTTTAAGTCAGAAGATTGGTGCTTATTGATTAGACTATTGAAGATAACTCTAATTCAACTAGAATGATTGTAGGTGAATAGAAGAATTATGCCAGATAGCAGGACAAAATAAACTTAGATAAAAAGCCACTGATTTCCAACTTAGAAGATGGAAGAGAACTCGACCCACTCTTGATGGAAATGACATCTAAAGAGATCTTAGAAAGGCGCCTCTGAAGCCCTCAAAACTCTAACGACACATCTGTCTAACATTCATTATTTCTAAGTGTTTCTGTAAATGGTTATTATTAGGTAATGAAATTGTTTTGTATCATGCGTGAAACGAAGTGCCATCATATAAAATAAGGCGGTTTGTAGAATGTGACTAGTGATTATTATTTAATGTGAACTTTGCTGAAAATAAGCTCAAACAATCTCAAAGTGGGATTTTTTAAACTCCTCAACATTCATAACAAAAGTGACACAATAAAGAAATGAGTTAGTAAGACCAAGGTAGAAACAAGTAAGAACAAAGCAAGAACAACAGTGGTGGTTTGTGCAAAATACAAGATGGTACCATCCTTTTGTTTATTTCGTTGGCTTCTCATCAGCTGCCTACTTACAGCCTAAAGAAATTATTATTAAGTTTATGTACAGAAACAGTTTCAACATACTTACATGCATAGAGAGCTCATTTTTAAACAACAAAATCGATATATGCATACAATGGTAATAACAATAATAGTTATCACTTTCTCCAAAACAACAATAATAATCATACACAGTGAAATTTTAGGAGTTACGCAATCAAACGAAGGTGAGAATGAAAACATCCAGTTAACAGGCAGGGTAAGGAAAAAGTGATGCTAACTGCTTCTTTCTGAACACATAAATCGAGTTTCACGCGCATGATAAAATTGATTCAGCAAACGTGAGAAGAATTGAACTCTTTTGTCTATTGATTATTCTGAACGATCTTGCAACGTCCACCTCATGACCCATGTCAATGGCGCTGTTGAAAGCATGTGTTCCTCGCTAGATACGTAGGCTTTTCGGTACATGTTCATAAAATTGGAGGTGTACCCTTCTTTCTGTTCTTCCAATGTAACTGCTCTCGCAGATACATGTAAATTTGTATACGAATGCTTTTAATAGTGCCATTACCAGGCATCCCTATGGCAGGAATCATGAGGTGGACGATGCAAGATCGTTTAAAATTATCAATAGGGAGAAGAGACCAATTCTCGTCAAATTTGCTGAAGCAATCTGCATCAAGCGCCTGAAACCCCATTTATGTGTTGAGAAAGAAGCAGTTGTCAGTCTTTCCTTGTCCTGCCTGGTAACTGGATGTTTTCATCCTCTATTTGATTTGTTTATGTAACGCCGAAAATTTGATTCTGTGTGATTAATATTGTTTAGGATAAAGTGATTATTGCTATTGTTACTACTACCATGGTATGCGTTTGTCGATCGTACGTTTAAAAATGAACTCTCAGTGTTTGCATACGATGATAAAGATAATAATACTGAGTTCAACTGAAATCGTACAAACAAGGGACCAGGAGTGAGGTTAAATCGAAAGATTACGTAATCAATTGAAAGAGAGAGAATAAAGACATCCAATAATCGTTAACTCTAACCCTCAACTGGTTAACTAACACAGTATTCATCTCTGCGATGTAGTCATCTTTGTTCATCTGTACGACTCCTGAGCTTTTTCAGGTTGCAGTGCTCTTTGATGTGCTTGAAAAAGACTCAGGTGTGATGCTTGGATGTCTATATTCTCTCTCTGTTTTACTTGATTACGAAATGGTTAGCCTCAAACTCACCCCACACACTTTGTTATTGTGTAATTTTGCTTGTTTTTCGTTTCTGTGATTTGAGTTGTACTCAGTAAACTGTTACCCAAATCTGTATTTACTGACATTTCTATGCACCACTTGTCTTTATTACGTGACTCCTTTACCATTGTATGCATACATTTACAATGTTAAAACCTGAACTCCCTGTGCACAAACTATAAGGACATAATCTTCTGAGCACTGTTCATTACGAAAGAAGGCTTATGTCAACCGACATCATGTAAAATTTCCAGGCTGTAAGCAACTGATGACAAGCCGATGAAATAAACAATAAAGGCACTATCATATTCTGCACTATAACACTGTTGTTTTTGCTTTATTCAAATTCATAAATACCTATATTATAATGATATAATCATTTTATTCCAAACAACAATAATAGTGATTCATTAGACGAACTGTTATTTAAAGCCATCCCCCAGTAGTTGATGACAAAACGCCAGTGTGTAAATCCCTTTCCTCCCATGCCTTTTTTCTTTTTCTCTTTTTTTAACTCTCACCTTCTTTCTTATAACCCGAATTATGATTCAAGCAGTTTCCTTGTTCGCTTGAAATCGCTTGAAATTGTTTTATTTTGTTTTAGAGCAGAGAGAACATTGGGACGTATTCTGAGTACGAAGAATTGGAGGCAAGTTTATTAGTGTGTGTGTGTGTGAAACAAGCATGTAAATCATTATGTGTAGAACAACATTTCTTTTTTATGAAATTTCTGTTTAATAATAATAATAACAATAATACCTTTATTCTGAACACTGTTTATGTAATGTACAGCATTTCCATCGAAGTTCATTGCATGATATTTTCTCTTCGTCCAGGATATTCAAATATAACATTAATTGACAGGCGATCGTGTGACACAGCTCTATCTGACCTGAATTGTGACATATCTCTTGTTTGTCTCCTTCGAGAAATACACGAAGACATTTTTTTGAATGCCAGTTATAAAAAGTTCAGGAGGCTATTTAGTCCACCATGAACACCCTTCAGCAGTAGTTATCTCGTGTATTGGGATAGACTGCCATCCAGCTGGATAATGCTTTTTCTCATGTTCAGTAGAAACTTGCTAACCAGTAGGTTGTAAATGTTTTGAATAATCTCCAGAGTGAAGAATATTATTAGAGGTCGCACTGTTGACTGGACACTAGTTAGTAACTAGTGTAATGTGTGTCTAGTCCTCTGTGTGACACATAGTGAATTCTATCAGTCAGTCATGTTTGCAATGTGCCACTAGGCGGCTCGCCATCACGGTGCACTTTGAATTGTTGATATTAGATGGTTAGAGGCAATCTGGCACAGAAAGCCTGATATATCAACAATTATTGGAGGTCAAATTTCACGAGATTCAAAGAATCTGAATAAGAGGAATCATATGCAGTATATTGATGGAAGATGTTTGCGGTAGCCCAACTTTTGGGCGGGCCACAAATATTTTTTTAATTAATGTATAATTTCAGGGAACCAAACAGATTAATTAATACTGTAATTAGTAACATTAGTATTAGCAGATTTGGCACTGTTAATTTCCGTGTATTGGCTCAAAATCATGTGCAGACTATTCTTTGTCTAACTTCTTACTTCGTTCGAGCTCAGACTGTGGTATTTTCAAAATTCATAAGCACCAAATTATATAATGACTACTTAAATGCTCTATATAACTAGCTCGCCATCACTTGCCATTGTAAAAACGTGTTAGAAAAACACCAAGACTTTGATGTCAGTCGATAAACATCAGCAAATAAATTAATTTGTATTCACTTACCTCTCGACAGCTAACATGAAAACAAAGAGAGTTGTAGGGTAGTTTATGCAGCATACTGAACAGTTTAACAATACACTTGAACTGAAGCTTGGTATACACGCCTTTCAGGTATTCAGTGTGTGTATGGGAAGGTTTCAAACATATCAAAGCAAACGCCTTATGAAACGTCAACCTTTCAGTAATGGATTCTAAGAAATAAAAACATATCTCCTCCTAAATCTTATTAAGTGTGTGTGTGTGAATTGGACAACCAGATATTAGCACAGATTGTTGAGGAAGAATTTATGTACAATGATTACATAAATTAACACTTTTTCTCTCTGTTGGATTAGGCGTTCTAACATCATTTCATCAGTCTTTTCTGGGAATTGTTGGAGCCATGGAAATCAAATGTGAGACTGTCGAATATTCATGATTTTTTAAATGGTATCCGTGAGGATAATTAATGACCACTTATCTTATATTATAACTAATAGACCAACTAATAGCTTAATGTTTACACAGGTACAGCACAGTGCAGCATGTCTTTGTACATCTAGTCGACGGATACCGATCAAAAGAAATACTTGGGACTGAACAGTTATAGTATTCAATGCTCGACAATGGGTTCACAGTGTAACATAGAGCTTCAAGCTTCAGCTTCGGAGTTTCAGTAGGAGTGGTGTTTATTTTTATGAGGTGATGTTGCTAACGTTACGCCCAACCTTCTGGCTTAGTGAGGTAAAGGAGTGCGCTGGAGGGCCCGGGTATCGAACCCAGGTCAACTTGCATGGTTGGCTAGTGTTCTACCATTGAACAACCGACCCACAAGTCTACTCACTATATTAATTACAATTATTATTATTGTTTCCTTTAATTCCTAGAGGAACATAGGGCTTCAGCCGTGCGTCTCCATTGCATTCGGTTCTTTGCTAGAGTCTTTACCTGGCTCCAAGTCTGTCCACAAGTTTTATTAATTACAATTGCAAATATGTAAATACTTAGGTAACTTAATAGGATTAAAAGAACCGTTTATTTTCCTTATTCAAACCTACTATATCCATTGCTAATACTAACATAATGTTTCGTTTTAGTCGAAGTAGTCTCCAGGCTTTTCTTATTCACAAGGAAGGCATTACATCATTGTGCATTACGAGAGATTTTGTTGTGTATTCTTCAAATAAATCAATGTCTGTGTGATAATGATTTAAGAGATGTAACTTAAACTGCCATGTTTCTGTTTTCTTTCAGACGATCCAGTTACATTGTTTGCTGCAGACTGTCGAAAAGTGGAGAGTAAGTAATTGTTTATCCGCATTCTGTAATCGTAGTTAGACCTAATTTTTTCAAACTACTTTAAGATAAATGGTAATAACAAGTCAGTAACATCAGTCTGATGATCACTAATGACCGGTCTCATTCAGGTAGGTAGGCAGGTAGTCAGCTGGGTTCTAGTAAGAAGTTGTGACCAGTGTGGTCCATCCTGTCGGCAGCAAGGACAAATACTTGCCAGCGATGACACTGGGTAGTGCTAGTAGCCCTATGTCGTGAACTGGCAGAAGCTGGAATTCCTGGACTGTCCATCGGATGGGATCTCAGTAGCTTAATTGTCTAAGAGCTCAATTTCCTGGGGTCGAACCCTTGTATTGTGATGGGTGTGCACTGATGAAGAGTTATCCCTAAACTAGGCTGACGAAACAGCTGTCTGGCAGTACTCCCTTGTCGTTTTCCAGTGGTTGTCTAACCAATGTCATATCATGATGAAATCCTGTAACCAATCAAATCAAATCCCTGTAAACCAATACTTGAATCTTGATATTACTTAATTGTTCGCACACCTAACTAATAGGAGAGCTTTTGGTCTCTGTATTTTAGTCGTAAGTGTAAAAAATCCCCTTCTACCTGAAACCTTAGGACAAACATGAAACTATTTATTATGCCATTCCGATTTCTTCTGTCATTATAAGTGGTCAAAATTTCTGAATCAGTTACAGTTATTATTACAGATCTAATATCTTAGTGGGATGACTAGGAACGCAAATTTGTGAGGTTTTATTACCCTATTTGGAATCAGCTTTCACTGAAAAAACCCACTGGGAAATGCTATCTTGGATCTATATTATCATGAATGTTCAATTAACTAATACTTCAACAACTAATCTGATTACCCTTTTCAAGAGTTGATTTGTAGGGTAAGATTTTATTTTGATAAATCACACAGTGTTGTACAGTTAACTTAACTGATGACGTTTCGAGCACAAACTATTGCTCATAATCATATCAAGTTACTCACACAACTTCTTTCCTTCATTTATATACATGTGTGGAATCGATTAGATATTGGAACAAAATTCAATATGAGATAATGTACATTCAGAAATAATAGTACGAGTGTTATTGATCCATTACCATTAGATGGGAAATACGACGAGTGTTTTTATAGTCATAATAAGTTGATTGTTAGAATGTTATGATGTGCTTGAATGGAAATATAATTTTAAGATTATTTATTATCTTCTTCTGATTTGACCGGAGGTAATAATATCTTCCATATTTCTGGTACTTGCATTGAGTCATTTCTGTTGCATGTATTGGGTGTACACTCAATGAACAAGGATTCCGTAATCAACCTCTCTCTCCACCTACCCATGTTGTTCTTTAGAATTTTAACCCTATCCCACCATATTGTGTGGTTGTTTGTTAATGCGTGAAGTGCAATAGCTGAGCTTTTTTCTAAATTACTTATCTTTTCAGGGTCAACTATTCTTCCCTTAGCTAAATTCTTATGTTCTGACAATCTGACTACCCCCGATCTACTAGTTTTACCTATGTAGTTGACCTCACAGTCATTGCAGGGTATTTTGTAAATTTTATTATTTTGTTTAATTGGGTCCACTGGGTCTTTAACCTACAGAGCTTGTCCCTGAGTGAGTTTGTAGGTTTAAATGCCACCCAAATTCCTGCTTTATTTAGAATCCTACTTAGGGTCTCAGACGTCCCTTCTTTATATGGTATAACTGTCGATGACTTATATTCTCTCTTATTTATGTTATTATTATTAGTTTCACAATTCTTTTTATTTTTCTTTTGGCGTTTTTCAATCTTCCTAATGAATTTTAGAGGATAGTTATTTAAAACCAACGCCTCTTCTATCTGTTTTATTTCATCATTTAGATATTTTTTTGTGCTACTTAGTGCCATTGCTCGGTTTGTTAAACACTTAATTAAGCCTGCCTTAACAGTTAAAGGATGAGATGAATTAAAGTCTAAATATCTATTAGAATGCGTTTTCTATAAACACTAGTGTGTAGTTTGCCTTCTTCTATTCGTTTTATTTTACAATCTAACATAGCTAATTCTCCTTGCTCATTTTCAGCTTCAAATGTGAACTTTATTCCCTCCACTAGTGAGTTTATGTGTGTCAAGAAGCTAGAGATATGTTCTGTTTTTAACACTGTGAAAGTGTCATCCACATATCTCCACCATATTTTTGGAGTAGGACTAAATGTATTTCCCAGCTATCCATAAATATATCTGCTACGATAGGGGATATTGGTGATCTCATTGCTACGCCTTCTGTTTGTCTATATATTTTTCCTTGGAATTTAAATATGGTAGATGTGAGGCATAGCTGAATCCCTAAAATAATTTCTTCAATGGACAGCTTTGTCCTATGATTGAGTTCAGTATCCGCAGTTAGTTCTTTTTTAACTGCTTCTAAGGCCATATTGACTGGTATATTAGTATAAAGACTAGTTATATCAAAACTAACCACTGTTTCATCATTATCTAGTTGTATGTCATTTAGTTTATTTTTCAACTCATATGAATTAGTTAGTCAGTTAATATTACTGTACAACACTGTGTGATTTATTAAAATAAAATCTTATCCATAATGGAGTTATGCTCTACCACAGTGCCCAAGTTTTATACTTATATCATTTATTTGTAGGGATTTGATTTGCTTTTCTAGTTTGACCACGGATTGATATCACTTAAAGAACCATTGAAAACCATCAGGGAGTACTGAACAGCCAGCTATTTTGTCCTAGTTTGGAGGTGATTCATTAGCAGTACGCATCCACCGACAGGGTTCGAACCCAGGAACTTCCGGTTATCAGGCTAAATCGTAGACTATGCAGGCTATTGTGACTCGACTGCTCAGTGGCTAGCCCACGAATTTTGACTTCTACCAATTCATGATTTAAGCACAACTGGCACCAGCTAATATCATCGACGGCGAGCATTTGTCCTCATTCCCGACCTGCTCTACCCCACTAGTCACGATTTCTCACTGGAACTCCAGGAAACTCTGTCCTTTAGGCAGTCACTGGCGAGCACCAGATTGTTTTTTCAAGAGTTGATTTGTATCGATTGAATTTGTTTTTTAAGTTTCACCATGGACTCGTGTCACAATTTCCTTGTCAAAGAACGTAAATATTAAGCTGAGTTAGGAGTAATTGTTCTACTTTTCGAAAGTGACTCAAATTTTGTCTGTCACAAAAGTATGTTTGTTTCTTTTCTGAAGTGTTTACTTCTTCTTCTTCTTTGGTGTATTTTAGTGCTCAAACAGAACAAGGACTATCCAGGAAGCATCTTTTCGAAGGTAAATTCACATAGCTTGCATAAATTTGTATATTTTATACTGTCTGTGTGCAGTGTTAAGGTCATTTGTAATGTGATCTGAATGAAATAAATTGAGGTAATTCAATTTTAACTCGCTGTTCTTAAATAAAATTAGTTGAACAAAAAGAATATTTACACTGAATGGTACTCAGCATGTCATAGGTGTATCAAATTACGAGGCTGTAGTGTATAAAGTTACATTCTGTGGTGCACTTATTTGTGTTTCATGTAAGCTATACTGACACCATGAATAACTCCTCTTTTTATAGCCAGAGTCAGTAATTATCAGGCTGATGGTGATATTGTTAAAATTCCAGCACAGTTGAAAAGGATATTTAAAAATGTCACAAATTTGTCATTTACAACAACAACTGCCAGTGAATGAAAAAATTGTAGGTATCACAAATCAAGTAACAAAAGTGAAAACCGTAAATTTGTGATTTGTAGTTTATTCACATGAGTAAGATAAGGCTGGCTGGCTGCCTGCCTGTTTTTTGCACCTATGATATTCTTAACTGCAGTGGACTAGATTATGCGGCACACTGTACGTAAGGAGCGAGAAAACAGGAATACATTGGACTGACTCTAGACTCTAGAAGATATGGATTTCGTGTGTGAATGATTTGGGTTTTAACGTCACACAAACTCGAAGGCTTGCAAGAAGGCAGGCAGGCGAATGCTAGCAAACTGCTTGAAGCGGCAGGCGGCGAAGACAGGACTGCAGGTGAACATAGTGAAGATAATCAACCAACAGCAACAAGAATGAAGGTAAGCAGCTAACAGCAACAGTAACAACAACCAGCACCAGCCACCATCAACAGGAGAAATTTTACAGTGGTTACTTCCTTCACTTATCTGGCTAGGAAGCATCGTTTCAAACACAGGTCAGCGGATTGGATGAATATGTCAAAGACAATCGGAATGGGAAAGGCAATATACGCCTTCATGAATCTAAAATAAATTTAGTAATCTTTAGCACTCAACACAACAAATGTCCAAAGGAAATTTCTCTAATCCTTAAAATTTAAAATAGATGAGCGCGTTTATGGATAAGCATCAGAATAATACCATAAATCCATAAGTTCAGAAACTTCCTCTCTGTGTGTGTATCACACAGCTAACGAATGGGGTAATTTTTTATTCCTTTACGTTCCCAGTGGAACATAGGGGTTCAAGTTGGAGGCCTGAAGTTCCTGTAGCAGTGGTGTTGATTTCTACAGGATGGGGTTGCTAGCCTCATGTCCAACCCCCCCTCTTTACCAGTAATGTTTCTGGCTCAGTGAGGTAAAGGACTGCATCCGCCGGGGATCGAACCCCAGACCACCTGCGTGGTCAGCGAGCACCCTACCACTGTGCCACCAACGGACCAATGGGATAATAAGCTACATCAATAAACATAACCTAATCTGGTTACAGATTTGTCTAAACACAGGAAATCATTAAGGCGACACTTATTTATGCCCTTCGTCATTGTTTTATAGCCTTCAAGGTTTTTGACCTGCTAAAATCTGTGCTTCGAATAATTCTATATTTAAAAATTACCAGTCAGAGAAAATACTTGAGAAAAGAAATCACATTAGTGTTAAACTGCATTTGTATATATCACTATTTACTCGAATCTTGGTGTTGAAGAACGAAAACAGTTCCCTAAATGAATTAAAAACTTAAAATTTCAAAGTGCAATGAAAATATTTAGAAAAATGTTGCACTAATGCACATCCCAATGGAACTAAATTAATTTTACAGGGAAAATGTTGTGATTTTGTGGGAGAGAGGTGAATTTAGAAGAGAACGCATTATAGAAAATGATATGGACGTAGGTTTACCACTTCAAACACTACGGCAGCTGCTACTCTGTTGAATGATGAATGTGCGGTCTCAGTTTAACAACGAATTTTACTGTCAGGTGCAGGGTGCAGCAATAGGATATCCTCTAGTTCCTCTCCTAGCCGATATGTTTATGGCAAAATACAGAATCATCCACTCAGAAATGTAATCAAGGAACTCTCGTTCTACTGGAGATATATTGACGATGCTTTCATCTTGCATAATAATAAAATCGATGCTGAGGTCTCTCACCAAACGTTGCCTATGGCTCACCCACAAATTGAGTTCACATATGAAAAGCAGAAAGACAGCATCTTGTCATTTCTTGATGTCGTGCTAACAAAAAGACAAGATGGCAGTATTAAGACGGGAGTCATGGGTCGGTCAATACACCCATTTCAAATCATTTGTTCCTCTTGCATACAAACGAAATCTTATTGGCACCCTGATGCATCGTGCTAGAAAAATCTGCACAACCGACACTCTTGACGATGAAATAGGGAAAATAGAAAACTTTTTATGCGAGAACCGATACTCCGAAAAATTTGTTGAAGTCTCAATGAGGAGAACAGATAGGAAGAAATGCCTACAAATTGTGCAGAAAAAAACATATGTGTGCGACTTTACCGTTTAAATGAGACACAGCAACTGAATTGCTGACATCGAAACTTCCAAAGATAATAGCTAAAACATTCTTTGCCGCAAAGTTGAGTTTAAAATTCATCACTCGTTTCATAATTCCAGCACCGGTGAAGGATAAGCTACCGAATCTGGTCACTTCAATGTGCATTTATAAATGCAACTGTTCATGTGGAAACAGCTACACAGTTAGAATGACTCCGCAAACTCCCCATCGTTTTCTAGAGCACCGTTCCACATAGTTAGGTAGAACAGTCGCTAGGGCATTCAGAAGTTCCATACTGACACATACAGGGCACACAACTGACAAAAATTCAGTTTTTATAACTCTCTGCAAGGTGCCACACCACCTCGGTTGCTAAGCATTGCTGAGGCAGTTGTCATAAAGATTTTTCAGTCCAATCTCTTTGTTCAGAAAACGTTTGAACAGTGTCCCTCCCTCCCTTGGCCTTCGTCGCCTACCGTAAATAGTTCTGTCTCCTGGTGACATAAGGTAACTGTAAATGTTATCTTATTATATTTTTATTTTATCTTAGTTGTAATGCTAATTTTATTATCAGTATCATGCTGTGCTGTGCTGTAGTTGTACTTTTTAGTCTTGGTTTCACCATTTATCATTATTATTATCTTATCTAATTGCAATGTAACAATATTTATTTTCCCCTTTACCCCTAATAGCATGCACATTCTACTTATACACTCACTGTTGCCCAGGTTATATAAACACTTGAATGAATTTACCTTGTTGCTATTATCATTATTATTATGATCACCTCGATTGTTATCCATTCATTCACATCCCTAAACTCTGTTCCTTGATATTTTATTAAACACATATTAGTTCAAATGCCTATGTCCACTAATATTTCATTATTATGTAAATGTAAATCCTAATGAGAATTTATCGAAAATACGTATTTGTTTAAATCGCGTTCTATAATTATAATTATTGTATTTAGGTAGGAGGATAGTGAATCAAGAGAAATCAGTAAATAAGATACATGCTTAACTCACACTGTATGCAACCTCTACATAAAACGAGAAGTCGGTGTATGCCAGTCTTAATCATAAAATTGTTAGACAGCGAAGTCTCCATATTTTTCAGAACTCTGGCTGAATTTTGTATTTTAGTGTGTGTGTAGCGTTTCAAAACTCTAACTTGACAAGCCAATTCTATTATTTTTACTTTTATTGTTTTTTTCTCAATTAGGTCTTCGTTCTTCATTAGAAAGACTTCAACTTGAATATGTAGATATTGTAATTGTAACACGTCAAAAAGACTCATCGATTCCAGTTGAAGAAGTTGTCAGAACTTGTACACATCTTATACATCTTGGATGGACATTCTACTGGGGGACATCTGAATGGTTACCGTCTGAAATTATGGTAAGTTTTAAGAGGTTTATCTATCTTATTTTTTAAGTGATTACGTGTTATGTTATTATTTTTCCTTTGGGTTCTGAGTGGAACGCAGGTCTTTCACAACACATCTATATTCCGTTGTACTTCCTGCTGCCTCTTCAACTGGGTTCACGATTGACCACAGTCTCTCATCTCCACCGCCCCACACAATCTCCTCCATGTCACCCAAGTACGACACACTCGTCGCTTTCCATTCGGATTCCACTCGAGTGATGTTCTGCATTGCGCACGATATCATTCGATGGCCTCCCCAGTGGCGTGTTCCCAATCCGTCTCCACTTTCTCCTACATTTTTGTTGAGCGATCGACTCTTGGTTGGTTTGCCGCCAGCCAGAGATTCTTGTTACTAATTATTTCTGGTCATTGGATCTTTAGTATGATTAGGTGTAGCACAAAACTACTATCTTCGGTTTATGTCTGCACATACTACTGTCCACTACACAGCAAAAATGCGTATGCTGCTACGTTAGTTCATGTTTTATGTGCTGTTAATTTGTGTTTAAAACTTAGACACTGTGGTAGTATGTAATTCCATATTAATTTGTTCATTAGACATATCACACAGTGAGTGAAACAGTATTATTATTTACTGGATGACAAAGTTTCGAACACAATTTATTACTGCTCATAATCATTTCATCAGTTATAATCACACAACTTCAAAACTTTCGTTTTATAGTTTTATTCTTTATTCTCTCCTATTCGTCGTCGTAGAGGGGATGGTAGTAGAATTTTCCAGATGTCCAACTGGACAGGTGTTGAATCATTCCTATTAAATGTATTCGCTTCAGGATTTCATCATGAGCTGACATCGGTTAGAGAACCATTGGAAAACCTGGGAGTACTGGACAGCTGTTTCGTCCTAGTTTGGGACTCTTCACAATACTCACCCACCGCCACGTTTCGAACCCAGGACCTTCTGGTTACAAGGCTAGCGACATCGTAGACCATTAAGCCACTGGGACCTGATCCAGTGGCCAGCCAGTCCATGAATTCTAACTTCTGCCAATTCACTAATACTTGAGTATTCGCTTCAGTTGATTCGATGAACACAGCTTCACTTATTAGATTTCAGAACTGTTGGTGACATCATGATAGTCACTCAATGACTCACTGTGCTTGTAGTTGTCTTCTGGTTGACCGGAGTAGATTACTGACTCTCCAGTTGACAATTTGACTAGCCCATATCCATCGTACCTGTTCCCACAGATTCTATGCCTGTCTATACCATATCTTCGCATTTCGTTGGCTACCTGCTCGGTCTTTTCAGTATCGTATATTGTGCGATCATTCCACACCCCCATTCTTATTCTTGCTTTCTGAAAGATTCACCAGCCCCGTGTCATTTCGCCTCTCCTATTCCAATGAAGAATAGATTCGCTTTTGATATTTTTCTTGTGCAATTAAGTTTGATCGATTTTCTGAAGTAAAGTCGCTAGCCTGACGTCCTTCAAATCTCTCCCTCTTTTCCCTGGCTTCGCATGGGCTAGCAAACTAGCGAGCTAGTAAATTAGACGAGTCTGACATCACTTAGCTAGTCGTAGAAATTCAACATTTGAATATTCATTGCCACTTAACACCAATCGCCACTATTTTCTTAATTAATCTTCGTTTATAAAAACAGCAATTTTCTAAATGAAACAGCACATTACACCTTTTACCTGAGATTTTCTCTCACAGTGTAGAACCATCGTCTGATATAAAAATCTCAACATATCACCATTTCTCTTAACCGATGTGTAAAGCAACCCTCATATCACATTTCTTTGAGAGGAAAAAATGTGATAAATGTCAGCAGACAAAATTAACTGGGATTCAATAATTATAACATTTTGTTATTTCTATACGAGACTGATGATCGAATCAGACGAAGGAGAAAATTCCTTTTTCCAAAAATGTCGTTTTTTTCTAATCTCAAACAGAGTAGACGGTGTGGTTAAATAGCTTCGTTTGTAGCTGCTGGAAAAGGATTCACAATCAACTGATTATTGACCGTTGTAGCTATTCTTAATTCCATAATAATAATAATAGTAATTATAATAATAGTTGGTTTATTGGATATATGAAACGGTACTATTTACTGAATGACATTTTGAACATAATTTATTGTTCATAATCATTGCAGCAATTATAATAACACACACAACTTTGAAACTTGATCACCTCAGTTCTCATTCTCCCTTTGTTTTAGAGTAATAGAATTATCCAGGAGGAAAGCCGATGTCGGTTATAGGATCCTGTGAAGCTCATTAAATAATACAGTTTATTTTATCTAATATCATACAATGATTGTGAGGTCTGATACATAGTTCCATGTTGCAAAACAGGGTCAGTTAGTCTCAGTGAACCACAAAGAACAGACTTAATCTAGATCATCTGACCATAACAAAAAGAGGAATTTAGAAAACACTCACCTAAAGCATTAATTGAAGTTAGGTATGACCGTACAGTAGAATGGGACAAGGTGATTGTACTAAAATCTAATGTAACAGTATGGAGGGAGACATTGATAACTGTGAAGCTTTATTCGTCGAGTCGACTGAGAACATGTACAATAAGAATGACTCAACACTTATCTCAGTTATCTGGTAAATTCTACTAACTAACAAATTAGGATTATTAGGTGATATCTAGATGAGTTCATGAGTGAGTACCTGAATGGTTGTCAAAAGTAGAACGCAGAATAATCAACAGCTCAATTCTGGTCAGGCGGCATCAGCAGAGGCTTCATTCAGAGTCATATATAGATTAAGATTGAACCGTTCAGATGAATTTCGCCTACATTTTCTTTATACAGCTGAATCTCTGAGAATGCGTAAAGAAAAACTTGAAATTCATGTTCAGAAATGTTTTATCCAGTCTCACTTACTACAGTCACCTTAATGTCAATTTCTGTTTACTCAGTTGTTGCATAATAAACTCTGAGAAGTCTTTTGATTTTTAATTATTTCACTCCGTTTTCAATCCTTTGTTCCCCTGTTTTCCACCATCAATTTCCTCCTAATGATTATTTATCAGGCTGATTACTGAATAAACGGTATTCTTTTCGATAACGTCTTCATCAGGCTCTATAGTTATATGTATTTATCATTAGTTGACAACATCACTTAGAGAACCACTAGGAAACCCAGGATCAAATCCTGTAACCAATCAAATCAAATATCCTTAATTATTAAGCAATTAGCTGGTTAGTTATCAACTCTCTTGATTCCGTAAGGTTACTCACCATTTGTTACTTCTCATACACCTCGATTTATTTTTCATTACTAACTGAGAATGACCTCTGACCTTTGTTGTCAGCTAACATTGTATACATGTAAGTGCCTAAGTAACTGTACAGATGTGAAATAAGGTTACTAAAGGTGATCTGTTTGTTGACTTATGTGTGTTCTTAAATGAGAAGTGAGAACGAGAATGATAAAAGTCAAGTTTTAAAGTTGTGCAGTTACAGTTCATTTGATCAAGAACAATAAACTGTGTTCGAAGCGTTGTCATCCAGTAAATAATAATACTGTTTCATCATTGTGTGATATATCCGATAAACAGATCGACATAATATTACATTATAACACAGCACCCAAGGTTTAAACCTATGTTAATTTATGTGTATTTAGTCTGGCTAAACGTCTGATAATGTAAGTGTAGAACTTAGGCACTATACTAGAATTTAATTCCATTTTAGATAAGTTTATTTCTAATGATCACACAGTGATGATGATGCAGTATTAACAACTGGGTGACAAGGTTTCCAGAATAAATGATTACCACTCATAATCATATCAGTTTAGTCACACGGTTTCACAATTTTTCTTCTATATATATATTTTGTCTCTTTCTGTCTCTCTTTCCAACTTCCCTTTGTTGTTTGTCGCCACTTTCCATATCTCCAGCATAGACGATGCGTCATGAACATTCAATCCAACAGATATCCTTACAAGATGAGGAGCATTTACTTGGATAGTAATCAAATGATTTGTATATTGACACCTCTTTTTGATAAATTTCAGGATTATTGTGATTTCTATGAATTAGCCATGAAATGTTGGTGTCTATTTTGTGGACTCAAATGTTAGCAAATTGATCAATTATGGAGATGTGATACATTTATACAGGAAAACTGCTAGGAGATGAGTTTTGAAAGTGCTGAAATTACTCAGGTTTCATGTTGAAACCTATCAGGAATAATATTTTCAAGACTCTTAAGGAAACCCCTTTTGGTAAGATGTGACAGTTCTGCTGCCAGTGCCTATTTATAAGAAAAAGAACACTTAAACAGCAAAAGAAATTTTCTTTTCGACGATTCATTTTCATAAGTTGTTGTGCAGTCGTAATTATATTTGACAAAGGATTCATAAGACAACCAATCAGATACTGGTAAACTTTGTCCTCGAAAACCTTTTACGTAATGTTAGGTGTAGTCTAGATGTGGTGATTAGTTGAAAATTAGAAAAAGGGGGCAGAAGTTGGGACGACATATAAAGTGTGAAAAAATGACTAATCAGTATAATTGGGTAGAGTGACCAAGAACTAGTGTAAAGATGATAAAGTGTTTTTATAAAATCTGTGTGAAAATTCAGTGTTATTGATAAACAGTAATAGAGGGATAATCAAATAAGGATGATGAGAATAATAATAATACCAAACTTACATAATAGATTGGAGGAAAATTTTAGTTAGAACTTTACTCTGGCTGCAGTAGAGCGAGTGAATGTATGTAGTGCTTTTGCATGCAGAGGTCCGGTTTCAGATCCCAAATAGTCAATGATTCAGCTATGTAGGGATGGCGTATTCGAAATCCTTTCGTTCGATATTGAGGAACTCTGCGTAGCACTGTGAAACATTCATACTGGGCTGCTCGACGTCCAGAGTTGACGATGTGTTTGAGGATGGAGCTGCTAGTTCTCTTCTTTTCTCCTCTACCTGGCTAGCTAGCCAGTCCGGACAGTGTTCCAGAATACGTTTACGCACTTCACATTGCAAACGGACGATATACTTTGCACCATACGAACAACTAAGTAAACTGATAAATACACACTTAGGTGGCAGAAAGCGGTATCTTATCCTTAACTTTAGGCTGACTGGATTAATTGTCTGCTGGAGAAGGTGATGCGTTGAAATGTCTTCATCAGACATAAGAATTTCCGCTTCTATATCACCCATAAACTCCAGGTTCATGAAGAGAATTTTCCTAAGAATAGCTATGATATTTGACACCTACCTACTTATGAAGTAAGAAAATAAAGACCTTTGACGAATGTCAGTGGGAAACATGCCAGGAGCATGAGGTGAAATAGCAATGGATAGAATGACAAAGAAAATCCCCAAACACTTTATGCCAGTGAATTTTTGTCATAATTTAAGCTACACATTATGTTATATTATAGTACAGAGACTAGTTGTACAAATGTGTATGTATTTTACAACTGATCTAGATGTTGGATAACTAAAGGTGCACATGCGAATTAACAGGCACTGAAATGTTACTAAATACGGGAAATTTACTGCAAACTGATAGTGAAGATAATTATAATAAGTTTGTTACACGGAAACTATTCACCCATTTAGTGTGTATAGTTAGTTGTGAACAAACGATGAAGCTTTCACTAATAATAATATAAAAAATTGTTTAAAGGGGAAGTAAATTGGCGCCGGACTATTAATTAAGGAAGACTATATAATCGTTACTGTGGTTAAGAATAAAAAGGTGGAATCTGGTGATTATCCATATAAAAATGTTCACTAATAACTGTGTAATCCTGATGTGGAACAAGGAATACTGTGTTATTCAAGTGTTGGTTTGCATGGATTTCATGTTTGGTTTCTGGATTTTATCATGAACTGACATCAGTTAGAGGACCATTGGAAAATTGCCAGGGAGTACGGGATAGTTGTTTCTTCCTTGTTTGGGACACTTCATCAGTACACACCCACCAACAGGTTTCGAACACAGGACCTTCTTCTTACAAGTCTGGAGAGCTCGTAGACAGTTAAGCCACTTGGCCATTGCATAGGATGAAGATGTCAAAGGCAGAATCAGAAAGGCAACATACACCTTCATCAATATGAAATCTGTTTGGAAATCTTCTGCAATCCGCCTCCGCATAAACAACGAGTTTCAGAGGTGAAGTGAGTCAGTCAGTTCTTCTATATGAGTCAGAAACGTAACTGGCGCTTCACGAAGAGCATTTCCAACAGGCGAACACATATTTTTATCAACAACTGTCTTTGCTGACTCCATATTGAAGATGAAATAGCCGGTCGGCCAGCCGGCCAACAGGAACTAGCAAGAAGAAAATCTGGCTGATAACAAACCAACCAGGAGACGATTGTTCAACGGATATGGAGAAGAGAGAGGGGATGGATGGCGCAAACGCCACTCAGGAGACCGTCGAATGATATCGCGCACAATGCAAGCTCAAGTGGAATCCATATTGGAAACGAGCAATTGGACGTGTGTCGGAAAATGACATGTAGAATATCGTGTGGAGAGGAGGAGATAAGAGATTATTAGCTAACCAGGGTTCAGCCAAGTGAAGAGGACAGTAGAAAATAGAACGCAGTGGAAACGTGATGTTGAAGCCCTATGTTTCACTCAGAACCCAAGGGTCTAATGTTAATAATATGTGGAGATATGATAATTGCAATAAATGTACAACTAAAATTTGATGTACAAGGAAAATGTTTGCAGAAACTGAGCAGTTCACTTCTCTTTTTTAGCATTTTATCAAATGAACATTGTGAAAGCGGTTTACACTCTCTAAGCAGATAATTTTTTTTCTGTGCATTTTAATTTTTTGTATTTTATTTTCCCTAATTAAAGCAAGCTCAAACTATCGCCAGACAATTCAATCTAATCCCTCCATCCGTCGATCAAAATGAACTGAATCTGTTGAATAGAGGTCAATTACAAAATATGCGAGAAGTTTGTGTCAAATTAAGTAAGTGAAAGTAAGGATTACTGAAATCAACTTTATCAACTTTTTAAAAACCCCCCTCCCCCAAAAAAATATAAAAAGCACCTGAAAACACATCATTCTTGATTAGAAGAATCATAAAACGAAAATTAGAAAGTAGCATTTGGTTGTTCCGTGGACTTCATCTCCGAATGTTGTGAATGTTGTGCATGTGCGTGCGTGTGAGTGTGTGAGTTTGTGTTTATGTGGAAGCAGACAACAACAGTACGCACAGCAATCCTTCTTCATTTCCTCCACTTTCTTTTATCAATAGAAAATTATATTTGACTTTTAGAAAATGCGGACTTTTTCCTCAACACTTTAAGATATATCAGAGAAGGAAAGAGGATAAGACGAAGAAATATCAAACATTACTGAAATTCTTTTGAGAGGAAAATAACTACTTAAATAACTTCGTCATCGAAAATGTATTGTGAAGACATGGGCCTCAACAGCTGTCAGATACGTAAGGCGATATCAGAAGAGAAGAGTACTCAATAGGCACAACATCAGAGTTTTCTTCAGAACATAAGACTCAAATACACACACTACAAAGCAGTCTTGTCCATGTGAAAGATCGAATCACTAAGCATTCTCATTCTAATTGTGTCTACAAAGTAAAATGCTCGGAGTGTGATGCCATATACATCAGACAGATTTCACTAGAGTGGAATCAAGGTAATCATAAGAAATGAAGACCGTAGAGCGAGTTTCTATTCTACCACTGAGAAATCTAGTTGAACTAGAAAAGCTTGCAAAAGCATCAGCCATAGGTCGTCTACAAGCTGCGCTATAGAATCAGGTCACAAAATTGATTTTGACAATATTGAAATAATCCAGAATGATTCCAGAAATCACAAAAAAATTTAATATATCCAACGAAATCCAAATTGTCTGAGCTGCATAGGAATGATGGAGTAAAACAGAATTTGATCTGGTTACAACACCCGCCTCCCCCTCTCCCATGAAATGACAAAATCTACACGAATGTGATAAGCAACTTCATTATTTTATACACTTATCAAATCCAACAATCTATACATGGTTTTGTTATCTTCATTAGTTGGTCAACTTGACAAGGTATAGATTACCCCATGCTGATGAAAGATGATTAGGTTGTTATATAATACAACTTGAAATTTCGTAAATTCTGGTTTAATAATACTACTACTTTAATAAAGCTATTAGCAGCATCAGCATCAAATAGCGAAATGTCAGTAAAAACAACGATATAGTTTTCTTTTGCATTCATCCTGGGAAATACAAAAAGAACTTTAATAATAATGAATATCACACAAATACCCAATGGCTACAGTTTTTCAAACTGTTAAATGTGAACTTGATTTGGACATATATAGACGCAACAGAAGATAAGTAAATACAGTATCAACATTTACAAGGATAATGACTTGGTCACATGATTTCTATGTATCCTGAACACTCAAAGTAGCTGTAAAAAAGAGGTCGAATAAGCTAGATGACTACATATGTCACTGGTAGTATTGTGGTTCAGCTATATGAAGTCACTGATAGCTGAATGGGACTACTAGTGCATGTTTCTGGGAGACAAAGAAAAGATAAATGTTACACAGTTATTTTGGAGCCTTGTCTCTATTTCTTATTGTATTTTGTTTTTATTCCTTTAAGTTCCGAGTGAAACATAGGACTTCAAGCCTGAGCTCTGAAAATTCAGTAGCAGTGTTGCCTTTCTACGCGGTGGGGTTGCTAGCCTCACACTCAGCCTCCTATATATTTGTAGGGCTTACAACCAGCGAGGGGAGGTTAAGATGTCTACCGGCCGAGAATTGAATCCTGGAACACACGCACTATCTTAGGTGGTTGTAGGTAATCGTCGCTGACTGCAACACTGGGTGACACTGGTTCAAATCTCACAAGGAACATGAGTTCCCTCTATTCTGCAGATACGTCTTGCTGAATGATGAGTGCCAACTAGCACGAAAACTAGGTCCACGGCTTCTTGCCGATTGCCTCCAACCATTTAGTATCAACAGAAGAATAGGTGTTATCGGGCATGCGAAAGCTAGCTTCACGCCTAACATTCCTTATGTTTTCATGCTTTACAAGAGGCCAGGAAGAGCAAAGATGTGCACCTCCCGGGAATCGAATCCTGCAACGCATACATGGTCTTAGGTGGTTGTAGGCAATCCATAGCCGCGCGTGACTGCAGGCGGCAGTGGCTGACACGTGTTTGAATCTCAGTAGGGACATGAGTTCCTTCAAGGCGGTTGCAAATATGCCTGCCTTCCTGACTGATGGATGCTAACTAGCACGAAACCTAGGTCGAGCAAGGCTTCCTGCTGATTGTTTCCAGCTCTTTAATATCAACAATTCCCAGCGCATCGTGATGGCTAGCCACTTGGAATGGTCGCCACATTGTAAACATGACTGACAGAATCCAGTCTGCACCAAAAAAAGGGATAGACACATTACACTAGTTACTGACTAGTATCCAAAGTGAGTTCCGAGTAAACTATGAAGAACAATCATTTTTCAACAAGCCTATTCACTTATGTCTACTTCTATCAGGAAATTCGCATTATAGTAAACAACTTCAGGGTGTTTAGTAATTTAATCATAAAGTGACACTAAAGTTGATTATTTTGACGATACAAGATCAGCTTTTAACATAGCGTATTCTTTAAGGAAATAAGCGCCTACCCAGAGACTTCGACTGAAGGAACATGACAGTTGATGAAGGCTTTTCTACCGGCAAAAACATGTTCTTCCACAAAAATGATCAATCCGCTTTCCAGTTCGCCAGAAGACATGCCTTTCACTGAAGATTGAAGACATAGTTCACTACTCATCGTCAAAAATAGAAGCATTTCGGTCATTAAGACCTTCTTACAAATTATTTCATATCGTCTTATATGAAAGTACGAATTCTTGCAGTATTTCGAATGAAGAGACAGCGCTTGGAAGACTTATTGTTTGTACATATTGTGTATGCATATAATAAAATAACAAGGGTACACGATAAGCTTTATCTCTTCATATTTCAGATATTGGTGTCATGACTGGATCTCCACTTGCCGGTGGAATTCTAACTGGAAAATACCTCGACATTATTCCGAATTTCTCAAGAGCTACATTGAAGGTGAGTTTTTTAAGTGCACTAATAATTAACCTACCACATAATTGGTTATATATTGAAGAATGTTTTGAATTGAATACAGGAGTAAGACAAAGTTAGCTGGCTGGCTGACCAGTATCATCGATGTTATTCCTAATTGTCGTGGACTGGATCATGCGACACATTGTACGTGGGGAGCGAGAAGACTGGAATACGCTGGACTGACCAATGTGAAGACTCTAGAAGATGTGAATTCGGCACTTGGATGACTTATGTTGAATGTCACACAGACTTGAAGACTTGCAGGCCGGCAGGCGAAAACCAACTGACAGAAGAGACAAGCAGGCGGTAAAAGCAAGACTGGGGGTGAACGTGGAGAAGATGGGGTTGGTGAAGATAACCAACCAACCAGCCAACAGTGACAACAACCGGCACTAATCACCATCGCTGAATCAATGGAAGAAATTTGAAAGAGGTCACTTCCTTCACTTATCTAGGATGCACCGTTTCAATCACAGGCAGTCGGATTGGATGAAGATATCGAAGCCATTCGGAATCGCAAAGTCATGATACGCCTTCATCAACCTGAAGCCAGTTTGGAAATCTTCTGCACTCCGCCTCAGCATAAACAACGAGATTTTGATTTTCAACACCCATGTCTAGTCAGTCAGTCAGTCAGAAACTTCGCTGCCGCATTTAACAGTCCACCACAGACACTTATTAACTGTTGTCTTCGATGACTTCATACTTAGGATTAAATGGACCGCCAGCCAGCCGGTTAGAAACAATTAGCAACAAGAAACTCTGGCTGTGGACAAACCAACAGTCGAGAGTCGATTGCTCAAAAACATGTAGGAGAAAATAGAGATGGATTGGACACACGCTGAGGACGTCATCGAGTGATGTCGCGCGCAATGCAGGCCATTGCTAGATTGGAATCCCAACGGAAAGTGAAGAGTTGGGCAAGTGTCCGATGGTAATACGGAGGAGTAGATGTGGGGAGGAGGAGATGAGAGATTCTGGTCAATCGTGGGGTCAGCTAGCTGAAGAGGACAGCAGAAAATAGAATGGAATGGAGATGTGTAACTGAAGCCCTATGTTCCACTCTGAACTCACAGGGAGAATAATAATAATAAATGAAGAATACAAAGATTAACCACCACTCAAAGTTATAATATCCGTGTAGTGATAGTTCTGCAGACCGATATGAAATAACAGCAGGAGTAAAAGCATCAGCTATTGAGATAGCTGCTTATTTGATTGTCTACGTATCAACTATTTCAAAATTAATAAAGTCTTTGTATAAAATGATATTATTGTGTCAGCGTCTGTGGGGATTCTCCACTCCAGCCTGTATGGAAGTATCCAAATTTCTTTTCAAAAGGTGTAAGTTGGGGTTTGATAATATTTCGACAGGTCACTCAAATTTGAAGAAGTGAATTACTTGAAAATTTTGTGCAAGAAATAACAGCAGGACGACCTTATGTAACCTCGAAAACCAGAGTCTTGCAATCAATTCAACGAATATACAAGACTTGGGTACGTACAGTACAGTGTCAAACAATTTTTTAGTTACTCATCATCTTACGCATCTCTCGTCTTTATTGCGTAACTCCCTTACCATTGTATGCGTGCATATATTTAATTGACGTAAAACTGAACTATTTGTGCAAAAACTATGTAAGCGTAATTTTGTGAACACTGTTCACTAAGTTTGGAACCTCGTGCCAACTGACATCACGCTAAATTTCCGAGCTGTAAGCAGCTGATGATAGGCCAACGAAATAAGCATTGATGATACAATCTTATTCTGCTCAATCTGTTGTTCTCGCTTTATTTATATTCATAAAAGGGAATAAAGTCTATGAAGTTATTGAGGAATATATATGGGTAAAATAATTTCTGTATACTAGGACTGTGAATTTCACAGTCCTTTTGTGTAAATCTTCACTGTATTCTACAGCATCAATCTATTTAAATCCCCTTATTAGAAAGTGAATCTTAAGATGCATACACTAGAGAAACAGTGCTCATTTACGCTTTCGATTTAAGACACAAGAAATACCCATTCAGACAAGAATATAAGAGGTTCCAATAGGGAAATATATGAGAAGGATTACTGACCAGGTTATTTATCTATCATAAGCAAACAATTTTTAAAATTCGCATTCAATACAAAGTCAGTTTGTTCAGATGCCTCACGAATAGAGCAAGAACGATCTATAAAGATGACTCCCTAGAAAATGAGTTAAGATACATCCAAAATACGCTGATCCAAGTGAGTTATCCTAGTAGATTTGTAAGGAGACACATAGACGCTAGATATAATAAGGAGAAACTGACAATAGATATAAAGATACAACTGTTCCCAAAGTTGGAATTTAATGGGGACATGGTTAGTGTAGTCCTACATCTAAGATCATCAACAGCAATAAAACGGACTTATACCAGCCGACCAATTATGACTGCTTAAGCGACAGAAAAGTTATCTAGCTGTACCACTTCGATATGTATCTGAAAACGTTGCTGCCCCTTTGGAGGGAGCTATATGGGGCGAACAACTAAACAGCTCAAAAAACGAATTAATGAGCATCTTCGTTCATGATTCGGAAAACGCCAAATAAAATCTATAGGAGGTTTTATTTAGACTGATTTGACTGATGATAGCGGTTACCAATTAGACAGAAGTAATGCCTTCAAAGTTATCTATCGCATTCCATAGCCGAAGCTATGGGAATCAATTCGAGAGAATAATCCTAGTCTTTGTATACAAATGAAGTTTGTTCTACCCTTGTCTCTCCCTTGATCTAGGTAAAGCCTAATTAAAACCCTCCCACCCTTTCTTAATTTCCATCTCCTTCGTACTTTTATGATAGTTGTTTAAACTCTGATTATTTTTCCACTTCACTTTCAAGATTACGCAACTTTTAACATTTGACCTAATTTATTTATTTATTGAATTGTCTACATATACACATATTACTACCTCTCGTATTCTTATCACTACCTGCATAAACCTTATTATCATTTCTTTTGTTATCATTATAATCCTCGTTATTACTTACGTTCAAAACATTTAACACATTATTATTATTATTTGGTCTACAAACTCACCAACATAAGTTAAAATGTTTATGTATAAATCGATGTGAATTAGAGTAAAGCCTAAAGATCTAATTGAAAACAACAGTATTGTTTGCTTATGTGTGTTGTTCTAGTTCGCAGTGTAGCAGAATATTATATCATTCCAGTTGGATCCTTGAGGTCAGTTTCCACAAGCACCTGGAACTGTATACTTCACCTATAGAAGGGAATAATAGTTGAGCAGTTGACCAAATAAACCGAACGAATATTTATTGTGTTTTAATATTGTAAATCATCTACGCACCCTTTATCTCATTACTATTTCTGTAACCTTCATTTGTCAAATCTTGTCAAAGGGTCAACAGCATATGCGAGATAAACTTCTCAGTACAGAGGGTTTAACACAAAGGGAACAAGTTAAGCAGCTGTGCAAGATAGCCAGTCGAATTGAATGTACCTGTGCACAACTGGCTATTGGTAAGTCATTCTTATTCTGAAATTTTTCTATGTCATTGTTGTGTGTGATACTTTGATAAGATTTATCAGTAGTATGTATATATGTATAGAGAGATGTTCATCAGCTTAAACATACATCAAATAGCAGGGTGATAGATTTGATGTCAGTCAGAGGAAGCAAATGATTCAGGAACACAACATGAAGGAAGGGCCGGATTAGCACAACACGGGGGATTTGAGTAAATGGTGTGTTGAAGATAAGGTGTATATAATTTTGTCTTCTACTGTTATATCATGTGTCGGTCAAATGTGTGAATATAGGTTGACCGATTATAGATGCCTGTTTCAGTTTAGTGAATAAGGTTTTTATCAGATGGTTGGAGGCAATCGGCAGGAAGCCTTGCTCGACCTAGGTTTCCTTCTGGTTGGTACTCACCAATTAACAAGGTGTATCTGCAATCTCGAATGAAGGAACACATGACCTTCCTAAGATTTGAACCCGCATCACCCAGTGCCTCAAACTGAAAATAGCCTCGTGTCTACGGTCCAGTGGTACCAACACTGCAGAGACACTGTGTCATGGAAAACGGAGAGAATTACTACGTTATTAGGGAGGAGAAGGAGTCATTGCACACGTGGACGAAGCTGTCTTATTGAAAAAATAATACAACCGTGGTCGTGAGCGAGCAAACAATGTTTCCATGATAGGCTTACATGACACATCCCTGCAGAAAGGATTCGTTGAGAGAATAGCAAACAGAAAGTCGACTACCTTAGTACCTGTTATTACTCGACTGGTGAAACAAGGATCTATAATACACAGATGGGTAAGTGGAAAGGTTATAACTTCTTGACATCCCTTGGATATATTCAAAACAGAGTTAACGATTCTAGTGATTTTGTGGATCCCATTACAGGGACACCCACCATTTCCATAGAAGGCTTTTGGAGAAGGTTTAAAAAAGGATTGGATCAAATAATAGATGGTGGAGCGATGTCGTTTATAGTCATTTAGATGAATATATGTATAGGATATAGTGTAACTGTTCAGTTGGTAATCCTATACTAAACTAGGAGGTTTTTTTATCATATATGAGAGGAAGATATCTAATGTAACACTTTGATACAGTTTTTATGTATTTTTCTTTATAAATATATGCATTCCATACCCGAAAATGCGTCCTTCCTGTGATTAGTGCATTCAAGATCATTCGCTGATTGACAGTCAGTAGTGCTTAAAGTTTAACTTCGTCCTGACACTGTATAACATTATGTATAACAGTTATTTGAACGTAGTTGACGTTATTCTTGAGAAACTATTAATTCCTAATTCTGAAGATCAGTTACTTTAACAAGCAAAGTTGTTGCAGTTATTCAAGTTGTTTTTCTTAAGTTGCATGCCATATTATCTGATGAACACTAAACCTCAGTGAGGAAGTAGTTTTTACAGTCATCAGGTGTCACAAGCAAAACAAGTGAACTCATAACAACTTGTCTGGTAAGCGATACATGTATATAAATATATCACATAACGTTCCCATATACTTTCATTCCAGTAGTTTACGTCTGGAAGGAATCAGCTTTAAATAACAATCATCTTATGACTCATCATGTGATTCATGGTGTGATCGGATGGCTGTAAAATTTCATCGTCTTTTCCTCACCTTCGTTTTGATCAGATTGCCAACCAATCAGAATACTCCTTTCCGCCAATCTTAAATAAATTCTCACTTAGTCAGACTAATCCATTGCCACTATCCTGGGCCAATTTTTACGTGGTAACTAATATTTATGTAAATATGACGTGTTTTTCCTAATAAAAGTCATATTCCAAAGGTCACAGTGCAGTTTCTGTTTGGCTCAGTAAAGCGGGAGGTACCCCAGAAAAATAGGTGAACCTAGCATATTAGTTGAGTTGTTCATTGCGTCAGTATTATTATACTCACACGCATCAGTCCACTCGGTCATATCAGCTATCGACGAGATCATAAAAAATTGGCGACGAATTCATTTAAACTAGCGACGCAGGTCAGAACAACGTCATATCAGACAGTCATCATTGTAGGCTTTAGTGAATCATAACAAATTTGTGAAATGTGCTCAAACGTTTTTATTCTAATCAAGCTATTTTCCTCCATCCACTCTGTTTTCTTTATTCAGCTTGGTGCCTTCGGTGTCCACATGTTAGCAGTGTTGTAATTGGAGCGGCAACAGTTGATCAGTTGCAAGAGAACATAATGTCGATCATGGTAAGAAACTAAATCTAAAAGCCTAGTCATATATACTAGGGATTTAGTTACATTATTATTATTATTCCCTTAGGTTATGAGTGGAACATTGTGCTTCAACAGAACATCGATATTTCATTCTGTTGTCTGCAGTCATCTCTAGTCGACTCCACGATTACTCATAATCTCTGATCTCCTTCTCACATGATCTTGTCTATATCACCCTTGGAGGCCCAGTTCGTCACTCGAGGGCTTTTCTGTTGTGAGATGTCACTCACCGGTCTCCTCAGTGTGTGTCCAATCTATCAACATTTCTTTCGACATATTTGTTTAGTGACAGGTACTCGTTTAGTAAGCTGTGTTCCAGAAATCCTTGCCGTCTATATTTTCCAAGCAGCCAATTGATCAAATTCACAATTTGCATTCTACACAGTTCGAGTGGTGAAATTCTGGTGTAGTTTCCATTGCAAAGTGAGACTTTTGAGACCACAATATGCGATCTGTTTGATAACATAAATGCTTATCGAGAAAACAAGCATATTTGCATAAGTTTACATACTACTAATTGATTGACATGAGTAGTATGTACTGCTCATCTCACTCAGTTAGTAGTGTATGGGTTCGGCCATCTGACCCTTAGCTTGAAGCAAAGGCAGCTTCTTATAGAGTTTGGAAACTGTTTGCAATACTTTTGGTGTATCACGCGTAAAAGTCTGTCAACCACATTGCATCACTGACTTAGAATTAATAGTGAAAATTCGAATCTGAATGCAGCAGGTTACTAGACCGATTGCAGATTGACAAAGGTCTGTCTCACTTCTCCTGACTTTGACATCTTCATCCATGCCGCCTGGAGTTGAAATGATGTTGCCTTGATAGGTGATGATTGATCACCTTTGCCTTCTCTATATTCGCTTATTTCTGATGACGAAGACTGTTCAATTGAAGCGTTAAGCAATAATCAAGAGTCAGGCAGCAATTTTTCCTGATGTGTGAGAACTGCGAAATGGTATAGATCCCTACTTACTTAGTAGGACTTATGTAAATTCTTCAGCACCGAATTACAATAAGTTGTGAATATAAAGTTTCTTGTAACACCGGATCATTCATCTCAAGCACTTTTCAGTCCAGATGCCCTGAAATAAATACTTTACTTGATAGGATAATTAGCATTCTTCGTCAACGACAGATCCTGAACATTTAGCCGCATGTCACACAAATATTACATTGTGGATTTCACGTCCTACTGCACACATTTGAGAATTTCAACTAACACGTTGGCATACTCTTACCTTGTTCTGTCAGTAGGATATCGGATTGCATTGTTGGAGAAGTCGAGATCTTATTCTCAATCACAAGTAGCTTACATACATGACTCTTCTGTGGTTAGTTGTTTTAAGTTCCAACAGCTGGTGAAAAAGGCATTCGCAGTGTATTCAGCTGAACTTTAGTTGCGCAGCATGAAATTTCAAAATTGACGACTATTTCATTTTTCAATTCAGAATCTGTTTAATGCAGTTTTCAACAGATTCCATATAAATCTTTATAAGTGCATTTGTAACGGTAGAACTGCAGAGACTTGTTTAGGAATGCTTAGTTGGAGTTTGATATCGCTATATAGGGAAATTATATACACCTTAACTTTAACACACCATTTGCACAGGTCTTCCGTGTTCTGCTACTTCTCCCCTTCCGTCATATTGTGTTTCTTTGTGTTCCTTTCACGTCTCTGTGCGTCGGTGGCACAGTGGTTAGGACTCTCGCCGACCATGCACATGGTCCGGGGTTCGATCCCCTGCCGGCGCACACCCGATATCTATGGTATGCCTGAATTTGGGCAACCGATATCCATGCTGAAAATTCCATACTTGTACTGAAAATACGGTGTGGAATCAAGCTGTAAATCAAAAAAAAAATTATGCATCATCGCAACGTTAAGCCATTTGTTTTCTTTGACTGACGTCGAATCTATCTCCCTGTTATTTGATAATTTTTTATGCCGATGAATATTTCTTTATATACATACTACTGATAAATCTTATCACAGTAGCACACACCACACATTTATTAATGTCCACCGTTTTCTTTTCGTTTTAGATATACCCAAACTTAACGCCCAGTATACTTTCTGAATTGAATTCTCTACTCACCATAACAGATTCCAATGATAATTTTCTCTAAAACGATGCATACTCATAAACAATTCACCACCTCTGCACGTTAAGTGAAAACCAATTTTCACTTGACGTGTGTCAACGTTACACAATTCAAGACAGTATCAGTTAGAATGAAAACCCATGAAAGTCTACGACAGTTTCAAAATTCATGCAAACACGATACTGATGAAAGGACATGATTGTTTTAGAAACCTTCCTACTTTCAACGAATGAATTGTATCTCCAATTATTTTTATTCTTTCTTCTCCTTCTATGATTCATACATGTGCATATTTCCAGATTCATTAATTAACTTGATAAACTGACAATTTTTAACCGCATTTATTTTCTGTAGTAGCATTGAGTTTATGTAAATATAACAAAATGAGAAAATCAGTTTTGGTATGTTATCATTGTTGTGAAATGCTGTTCAGTATTCTCTCATCAGTTGTAGGTACTTTGAATAAAGTCTGGCTTACTTTACATTGTCATCTAACTGGACAAAATAAACTTGGCTTTTACTCATATTTTATTCAATCATTTGAAATCTTCATATGGGATTCCTAGATGTGTAAATGAGAGAGTGACTTTAAGCAGATGTCGGATATCAGACTATTCTTGATTCCCCAGAAATTAAAGTCTTCATAACTATGAACGAGTACTTTTCTTCGTGACTTCCTGTTGTTTCAAACTGTCCAGTATGTATGAAATGTGTTATTGAGACAAAATAATATTTATTATTTCATAATTACTCACTTGGGTTCTGGGTGGAACATAAGGCCGCTCCCTTCTGTTCTCTGCTCTCCTATTCACTTTACTGACCACACGATTGCCCATAATCTCTAATCTCCTCCTCACCATACAATTTCCGCCATGTCATTCTTGGACAAACGCCAAACTCACAAATTCCTTTGTGAAGTCCACTCAAGCAATCGCCTGCACTACGCGCAATGTCATTCAGTGGCCTTCTCAGTGGTGTATGACTCATTCATCTCTATTTGCTCCTCTATAGCTGTTGAGCAATCGACTCTTAGTTCGTCTGTTCCCAGTCAGAGTTTCTCGTTGTTAATTCTTTCTGGCCGTTTGATCTTCAGTATAGAGCCAGCAAAGGTAGTTGTCCGTAAAAGTCAGCAACCAGTTTGAAATCCTCTTGACAAGTTAATCAGGTTTCTGACCTGACCTATATTGAAGAACTGGTTTGGTGATAGGTGCTGGTTGTTGTCGCCATTTGGTGGTTATTCAGTTGCACTCATCACCTCCATCTTCTTTATGTTAACATGCAGTCCTGTCTCCGTCGCCTACTTACATTGTCTGAAAGTTTGTTGATGTTCACCTGCTTGTAAGTTTTCGAGTTCGTCTGATGTTAGACACAAATTATACACGTACGAAGTCGAGAATTTCCAGAGTCTTCATATCTCTCAAGCCAGCGTATTCCTGTCTTCTCACTCCGCACACAGAGCGTCACGCATAATCCAGTCCAGCACAATCAATAATATCATCGGTAAAAATAAATAGTCGAGCAGCCAGCCAGCCTTGTCCTACTGCTGCACTCAGTTCACAGCCAGGCTTTGCTGAGTTTTCCGTTGTGGATCACCTGACACGTAGCATTTTCATATAGTCAGCCAGCTGTTGAATGAGGCTGATAAATATTTGGAAACTTCACACCATAGTGTTGAAGTAGTTTGCTGATCATCTTGCAGTCAATGCTGTGGAGTGCCTCTTCGAAGTCGATGAAATTGAGGTAGATAGAGATCTGACTGTCATTCTATACATTGATCAACACACCATTAGGCAGAAGAAGAAGAACACGTAACTAATGTGTAATGAAATATGTCAGGTAGAATAACATAAATGGAGCTAACTGCTTCAAGTGTTTCAATAAAGGAAGTTAACTGTACAGCACTTTAAAGTATCATTCACTGCTATTGCGCAAAACCACAAAAGCTACTGAGAGTGATGCAAAAAACAAAAAGTAACATTTATCGAGTGAATATGTTACCTTTAGTACAAATCATAATCAATTTTACACCAAAACCTTTGAAATTTAACAACTTCTGTAGTTCAAATCAAAGAACATTTGAAAACAATATGTAAGCCTGATCGGAAACTAACCGTCTGTTGCATCAAGTTCATGGTTCAAATGTTGATCCACTTGATAATTTTTGAATCACACTACACACAAAATCTGATCAAAGCAAGAAGAACAGTGGTTTGTGTATAATAATATGGTTTCCTTTAGTTCCTAAAGGAACATAGGGCTTCAGCCTCACGTCTTTATTGCGTTCGGTTCTCTGCCGACATTTTCACCTGGTTCCATGTCTGCCCACATGCATTCATCTTCTCATCACATGACCAATCCACCTCCATTTCTTCCTGTTTATTTGTTGCACAATTGGTTCCTGATGGGTTGGTTCACTCATTGCCAGAGATCCCTCCCTGTTGCTGATCTTTCCCGGCCAGCCATATGACCTTGAGCGAAGTATTGAGCGAAGACAGATGTTGATGAAGGTCTTTAGTTTATTCGAAGCGCACCTCGTGACGCGGCACCAAGTCTCTGATCCGAATAGTTAGTAGCACTGGATTCACATTGGAGTTGGAAATACACATCTTGTTCTTCATGTTGAGTGCTGTTGATCGCCAAACAGACTTGAGAGTAATGAAAGCTAGCCTTGCTTTCCTGATCCTCGTTTTCATATCCTCATCAGTGCAATCCGCCTGTAGTTGAAACGATGATTCCAAGGTAGGTAGAATAATATGGTACCATCATTTATTTCGTTGGTTTCTCATCAGCTCCTTGCTTACAGCATAAAGAAATTATGAGGTTTATGTACAGAAAAATTTCAATATACTCGAAAGTTATACATGATGTCAGTTGACAGGATGTTCCGGATTCAGCGAACGGTGCTCAGGAAATTACACTTATATAAATTTAAACAGGAAGTTCAATTCCAAACAAAGCTAATGTATGCATGCAATGGAAAAGGAGTTACTTAATAAAGAAAGGAGGTCGTAAGATGATGAGAGACTAACACATTCGGTGAGAATGCAATGAGTACACCTGAAGTCATGGAAACAAGAGACAAGCAAAATAATACTATATCAAAGTTTGTGTGTGTGGTGGGGGGGTGAGATTAAAGCCGAAGATTACGTAATCAAATGAGATCGAGAAAAATTGAAGACATTCGGTTACCAGATTGAGGGTAAGGAATACTTGATTCAAGCGTTTGATACGCGTCATGAGAAATGGAAATCGTGAAATTTTTTAAAATCACCAATGGACACAAAGGCTCTGTTCTCCTGAAGTTTGCCAAAGCAATCTCTATCAGACACTCGAAACCCAATTTGTGTGTTCAGAAAGAAGCAGTTACCAGTCTTTACTTACCCTCAATCTGGTAACTGGATGTCTGACTGAGTCTGACTGCTCCAAACTTAATAGCTTTCTGTTGGACATCAGCAAGTGGTCTAAATCAAATGGTCTTATGTTAAATCCTTACAAATGTCACACAGTTAACTTTAGCTTCAAGCATCGACGTGACATACATGAACTAGTTAGTTTCCATGATGCCTGTGGCTTAGACGGCACTGAAATTGAAACCAAGTCAAGCGTTAAATACCTTAGATTAGTTCTTTCCTCTGACCCTTCGTAGTCATCCCACATTTTATCAGTCACTAAGAAAATGTTTCGCCTTACCTTCTACATTAAAAAGTTAAGACAATCAGGTATCAACCAACCTTTAGTTCTGCAATTTTTAAACTCCTGTATTTTACCTATTGTACTCTATTGCTCTCCATTAATCTTTCCTGGGCTTCTTAAAAAAGACTATGTCATATTACGAAGGGTGTTAAATGCTGTGAGTAGGGCTTGTGGTTTGCAACTGCGTGAGCTCGCCAATACTATAGTCGAGAGACACATAAATTCCTGTACAAAGTGGGCAAAGGCCGTACTGTCAGACCCTCTGCACCCCCTTTATTCACAACTATCCCCTTGTATCTCATCGGGTAGGACGAAAAGTCAATATAACAAGTTATACGCTAGAACCACTAAGTACAAAAATTCTACAATATCGTATTTAGCCCGTATTTCATGTGATGAAGACTCTGGTAGACGTGAAACATATAAGTTACTATGTAATTAGAAAAGTGAATCGACCCTTTCATTTTTCATCTTTCTGTAATGTTATGGTGTCACCCTTTCTATCGTTTAATGATAACTTTCCTATTTTTATTTTGGTTGTTATTACTATTATTTTTTAAATCATGGAAAATTCCCATTGTAACATATAGAAAATCAAAACAAATGATTCAGCGAAGAGACTCTTTTCAACGAATTTATCATCAAGCTGTACAATCGTATATATATGGTTTATATATATACAATTGTACAGCTTGATGATAAATTCGTTGAAAAGAGTCTCTTCGCTGAATCATTTGTTTTGATTACTATTATTACTATAATTGTATAATTTATGCATATTTTTCTCCGTATTGCATACAGTAATTTGCGAAATGGCTGCTACAACAAGGTTTTGTTATCATTATAATGTAATGTTTATTATTTTATTATTTTTGTTTTGTTTCTCTTGTCGTTTTTGAGTAAATTAGATGCAATATTGTACTGAATGCTGAAAATTCCTTGCTGTATCATCAGTACTGTTTTTGGAATAAAGCAAATTATTATCATCATTATTCACTGTCTCTCTCATTTGATTACGTAATCTTTGCCTTTAAACTCACCTCCTCCCACACACACAAACAATTTGATGTAATGTGGCTTGTCTCTTGTTTCCATAGTTTGTATTCAACTCAGTGCATTTCCACCGAATGTATTAGTCTCTCATCATCTTACAACGTATTATCTTCATTACGTAATTACTTTGCCAGTGCATTCACACATTCACATTGTTTAAACCTGAACTGACCGTGTGAAAGCTGTGTAAGTGTAATTTCCTGATCACTGTTCACCAAGTCCAGAACATCCTGTCAACTGATAGCATCTGATGAGGAGTCAACGAAACAAACATCGATG